TAAATATTCAAGTTTTGAATAATATATATAAATAAATGTATTATGCCAAAATAAATGCAAGTATACACACACTAAATGTTCAACACATGTTGAACACATTCTGAGACTTTGCCAGTGATTACAGTACTAAGGAATTTTTACAACATTGGAATGAATTGAGATAAAAGAGTCAAATTCCTGAATCATGAGTGAGAAGCTTTACTTCCATTGAAAATTGCTATATAAATAAAGAAAGATCAAGGGGACAAATATTTAAAAACTAAATAAAAAGAATTTTTTTTATTTCGTAAAAAAATTAATTTTTAAAACAACTCATTTTCCTAATACATTTACAAGGAACAACTTTGGCCTAATTAGACTAAAATAAAATATATGAATTCTTTCAGACAATAAATTAGGTAACAAAAATGCAAACTAACACAGCAAACCATGCACCATTCATACCTTAGAAAAGTGACATTCCAAAAAACAATAATACATTACTTCGCTCAACAAACCATGCAGAAACAGGATTACAAACTTACATGCCATTTTACAGTTACAGACAAAACTTTAACAAGTAACATGGGCTCAGCCTTTATAATCTTAACTACTGTACAAACAAAAATTATTAATTAAATTCAAACAATAAGTTAGCAACAATGCAAAATCACAGCAAACCATGCAAAAGAAAATTGACTAATCACACTTACATACCTTGGAAAAGTGTAATGTGATGTGGAAATAAGATTGTGAACTTACATACCGTACCATTGTACGAGGTTTCAAATGAAACTTGTCCAAGTAACATGGGCTCAGCCTTTATAATCTTAACTACTGTACAAACAAAAATTATTAATTCAATTCAAACAATAAGTTAGAAACAATGCAAAATCACAGCAAACCATGCAAAAGAAAATTGACAAATCACACTTACATACCTTGGGAAAATGTGATGTGATGTGGAAACAAGATTACAAACTTACATACCGTACCATTATATAGTTTCAAATGAAACTTGTCCAAGTAACAAGGGCTCAGCCCTTATTAGGCCTACCTTTAAAAAATGCTATTTTTTTGTGTAGAGAGTTATTGCAGGTTGTTGAGAATTCACTAACATTTGAATTGTTAGAGAGAGAAGAAAAATTTATAATGTAAGAAAAACCCATTGGAAAAAGTACCTAGCCTAGTATAAACATTTTATTCAGGGAAAGGCTCTATGCGAGGATTTTGAATTGTAGAATACGGACATCAGCAACCTACCTAGAAGAATGTAGATAGGCCATTGAACATTCAGAAGAGAATCTGAACACACGATATTGATAGTGATGATTCACTTTCTTTACACTTAACGAATTCCCCCAGGGGACAAAATATTGTGTGTTCAGTTTCTCTTCTGTATGTTCTATGGCCTATCTACAACTTTTGGGCAAGCTAGCTACTATCCTACTTTTCTACAATTCAAATTAATGGAATTGTAAGTTCATTATTATGGTACCTAGCTTATATGAAAAAGTCCTACAATGTTTAGGCCTAATTACAAATGTGATTTGTGTAACACTCAGGGTGAACACCTTTATGGCAGTTGTTACACATTGTTCTTGTTCGGCGACGTCGCCCCTGTGGGTCGTTTCGCCCGCTGCACACGTTACAACTTTTTTCTTTCCCTTCAGGAAACTTGGAAAGTCCAGGTCTTCTAGGGCCGTCACCAGCTCCTCCAATGTCGACACTTCTTCTTTGTAGCCATGGCAGCGAAAGATCCTCAATTAGGTACAGAAGAAATGAAGTCTAAGCGGCTGAGTTTGTTTTGTGGTGTGTTGAGCTTGTACAAAACGTAGGCGTTCAAGACCATCCTTGCAAATACGTTAAATATTACCTTCTTCCACGTTTTCATGCTTCTCCTCTCATCCAGATATGTATAAAGCATTTGGTCCGTCCCGTCAATCCCCCCCATGCCCATATTGTAGTCATGCACTATTTGAGGTTTTCTTTTTATTAGCACTCTTCTGTTTCTTAGACGGGTGAATTGTACGGTTTTTGCCAAGCTGTTTTTTATTACTGGACTTTTCACGCCAAGCCATTGTTAGAATAGGACCTTTGCGTAGATATGTTTTTTTCCCAACACCATACTTTCCGAGCAATGGTTTTCTTAGGCCTTTCCTATCTAAACGTACGGTGCCGGTTAGCCAAGTCATTTTAGAGTAGAGATCTCGGGCGAGGGTAATGGTGGTGAAAGAGTTATCTAAAAAAAGGTGATATCCTTTGTTCAGAACATTTCCCATTTTCAAAAGTGTTGAGACAACATAGTAGCCAAGTCCTTTATTTTCCATTTCAGCTCTTTCGTCAGCAGTTGTGTATCTGGCACCTTTGTAACAGAAAAAACATACGCAGTAGTGTGTTATGGCATCACACAACACCCATAGCTTTACTCCCCATCGGTGGTGTTTTTTTTTTTGGAAGGTATTGAGTAAGGGCTGTCCGTTTTTTAGTTCCAACAAGGGATTCATCCACGCTCAGTTTCTGGTAGGGGACATAATATAGCTTGAATAGCCTATTTGCATGGTCTATGACTGGTTGAAATCTAGAGCAAGGGTCGTAGCCGGGCTCACCATTTTTGGGAAGGGTAGTAGTGTCTACTACGTGGAAACATTTTAAAAGTAACTCAAAACGGTTCCGACTCATAATCTTTGAAAACCATGGTGTAGAGTGAGACATGGTTTTAGCCCAGTAGCTTCTTATGTTTGGTTTCCTGACTATGCCCATGTTCATTAGAATTGCCAAAAATGCTTTCATTTCATCTGAGGTAACTCGCACCAAGTCCTGCATTCGGGATTTTGGAGACAGCACATTGCTAGATATAAAGTTTTCCGCATAGCGGTTTGTCTCTGTAACAATGTTAGAAATGAAAGTTGCGGTAAAAAATAGGCTAAAATATGAAATTGGTTTAGAATTGGCAGGGGGACAATGTTTTGGCCCAGATTGTTCTAAAAACGTGAAATCATGCTCATACCCAGCATCTAGTTCCTCAGCCAGTTCATCCCAACTGCTGCTTTCAGGTTCTGGATTTGGTCGAGTTCGTGTTCTGTCACCTCCTACACGTCCACCTCTCCTTCTTCCTCTTGGTCCACCTCTCTGACTAGGCCTAACAGTAGGTGAAACAGGCCTATCCTGATCTTCTTCATCAGACGACGACGAATCGTAAACAGGCAACCGTGGAACAACATTAGGCCTATTTCCAATGAGTCTCCTCCTTACATTGGATGATGTTGAGGGATTTTCTGGATCCGGATCAAAGTCCGGATCGGCATCAGTGTCATCCACATATTCACTACTTGAATTTGATTCTGACTGTGAAGATGAACTGATAATAAGGTCATCCAAGTCACTTTCGTCGTCGGCAGAGTCAATAAAATTAATGTTCCCTGCAGTTTGAATGCCACTTACCAAAGTGTTTTCACTAACAGGAGATTTGCATCGCCTTTTTTTGCTCGGTCCAGGCATTATTTACTCAGTGAGTCTCACTAATAACTAAAAACATGCACTAGGTAAATATTGAAAACATGCCCTAAATATTCAAAACATGCACTAAATACTCAAAACATAATGCAAAACAACACCACTCACAACGTAAACAACAACATTCAATAACTATTTCGAGCGTGAATACAGACTACAATCAGCTGCGTTAGGCCGTGACTAGGGCGGAGTCACGGCCATCTGAATTGTTTTTTTTTTCAGTTACGTAATACAGTTAAAAATATTCGTATACTATATAAAGTATATATATTCTTGTAGGGAAACTCTTTAGCTTTAATATGGTATAAGTTTTATTATTGTCAGCAGTCTCATTTGAGCTCTAAATGAATAAAACGTACTTGCCGATATATCGGCGGGCGGCCATTTTCGCAACGCCGACGGGTGCCGATTTATCGGCAGTTGGCCTTTTTCGAATATAACGAGAGTGCCGATATATCGGCAGTTGGCGCTCAAAGGGTTAAAGTCATCAGGAATTATGACTGTTATTCGTTTTCAAATAACACCTGTAGTACTTAGCAATTGCTCGAATTCGAGCAACAGGTACACTAGTTTATTTTTAATACACACCTTATAAACTTGATTTATAGGACAAGAAAAAAGGTCTTTTCAACTAGCCCTAGCCTAGGCCTAGCTTATTGAAAAAACATTATTTGAACATTTGAAAAACGCAGAACTATAGAATGGTATTTGCACTACTATAAGCCGTTTAGATTGCATAGCTATCATTATTGGTTAATTCGAAAACAGTAGCCTAATATTGGTAACCTCTGCAAGCGCTTCTCGCGGCACTGTCCAATGGTGCAACATAGCAACTGAAGCCCGAGCTGAGATTTCCGAGTTGAGGTAGAGCGCACCCTTAAGTTAAACTTAGTAGGCCTAAGTCTTACTTAGAGAGGCTGGATTCAGTGAACTCACAGCACTTAAGTTAGTTTTTTTTTAACACGTTCGCTGCTGAGCGCTAGATGCCGGGACGGCGCCAGTTGCTGAACTAACGCTCGGCCGCTGCGTGACATTGCCACCGATACACTGAATTACAGTAAAAACAACAGTGGTTATACTGGATGGCAATGTTCTGCAATAATACTGGCATTTGATATAGTACTAAGTGATTCTGATGGATAGCAGCACTACCCAGGTCACAGTCGGTAAAGTAGTGTCGCTATCTAGCAGGAAAGAGGTAAAACAAAGCCCTGTTCCAAACAACCCTGGTGGTGATTTGGGAAACTATATTTTTTATTGTCAGAAAAGTACGTCCCCACGAGCTGCAAAGAAATATAGAACGCTTGTGACGTGCTGGCTTATCCATAGCAACGTTAAACAACAATGAACGGTGACGTTCTGGAACGTTCTTAGCTCCTGGCGCCGTGGCCCGGCTGACGTTCCGGAACGTCCGTAGCAGCGAACGTGTTAATTTGCCAATAAAACAATCAAGTTAAAATACATTAAATAAGTTATAAGTAGATCCCAAAATCTAATTTACTCACCTAGGACAAAATTTGAAGGATCAATTCTTATCAGTTGTGATGGCTCAATTTTTATAAGATGGGAAGGATCGATCTGAATAAAAGTTCCAGGTTGAATAGGCTGTTGAGATTGAGGTTTCGGCCGAGCTTTACCAGTATGTAACTCATCTAGTTCATAAAAAAATGGGCAGTCTTCTAACATTTGTTCTGGCTCTTCTTCTCTGGCTCTGTGATAGGATAGCCTCAATTGTTTCCATTTTGTGTTTATCTGATCTCTAGTCCTAGTATAGCCCTTTTTCTTCATTTCTTCAGATATGAGGGTAAATATTTCATATCGACCATATTTTCTACGCGTTAAAGAGAGTAGCAGATTTTTGTTTTTGATTATCTCGATCAAATCTCTTACCTCTGTATCGGACCATAATGGTCTCTTGCCGTTTCTAATCCTTCGCCTAACCTTTAGTAGCCTTACACCATCTATTTCTAAAATTTGGCTATTTTGATGATTTGGATTTACCTCCATACTCTAACTCCACTAAATCAATCGGTTACTTTTCGACCCAAACTAGTCTAGTACAAAATATTATTCAATATAGCCTACCTAGGTCACTCAGCTTCAAACAGCTTCACAATCATTTCGTTTCTGATTCTGTCATTCTGTGTATTCGTAGTTCGCTGTTCGTTCACTCGCCTCGCACGCATTCTCAGCAGCACAGTCAGTCTAATCTACGTGAACTAGGACTCTAGGGAGTGGGTGGAATGGGCATACGGGAGGGACGATGGCTAAAGGTGTGGTGACGTCATATCTATAGTGGCTAATGTCTTCTCTTGAGGCAACACGAATATTATCAGCAAGTTTGGTTGGTTGGGTTAGGTTATGACAGTTTAATTTTATAATACAAAATTTTAAAATTGATTTTATAATTAAAAAATAAAAGTAAACATTCATTTTATTTTTATCTTATATATTTTTTATATTATCAGCAAGTTTGGTTGGTTAGATTAGGTTATGACAGTTTAATTTTCTAATTAAAAAGTTAATTTTATAACTACAAATTATAAAATTAACTCAATTTAAATTTTTCAACTTTAGCGGTTCTAGCGGCGAACGCTGACACTATGTTAGCCATCGTCCCTCCCGTGTGTCCCACCGAGGACTCTAGGACTAGAGCATGGGACTAGAGTAACTTCAAATAGGGGTAAGTGACATGGTGACATACACTATTACGTCAAAGGAGTGACACCAAATCTCCCCTTTTGTGTCTTTGAGATAATTATGTACCATTGATTATAATATACAATTATAAATTACATATATATTCTAATTACATTGATTATTAACCCTTCCAGGGCTAAATTAAATAAAGGGCTGGAGCTTAATTATTTTTTGCTAAAATTAAAAACTAAAGTGGTTGTTTTGTATTTATTTCACTTGAAATAATTCATGGATCCCAAAGATTTTCCTTGGGGCTGAACTAATTTTTGTACAAAAGTTATGAAGAAAATAAAATTTGATTTTACGGATATACCCGTCTTTGGCCACGGCCGCGGCCTTCGAAGTGGCAACGTCGCAAATGGTGTAACAGCTGTTTTGTTTGGAAGCAGCTAGAATGGTTTGTGTATTTACGAATGATCGGTTACTGGATTATGACCATGGTGGAAGGAAAAAAACATGACAATATTGACTCCGCTTAAAATTCACAGATATAGATTTTTAATTCATATTGTTTCGGTATTCAATTATGTATGTTTTATTTTCAATATTTTAATAAATTTGTGTTCATAAATTAAAATTTAAATCAATAAAGTGCGAATTAATGAGCTGATGTCACCTGTCTACCATGTTATCTTATGGGACGTCTGTCACTAAACAACATCACTTGCGACGTTGCCAATTATACCAGGCCGCGGCCTGTAGTTAAAGGTGGCCGTGCTTTGGCCCACAAAAAACACAAGGTGGACGGATATATCCGTCTGCCGCCCTCAGTGATAATCACAAAATATGAAAACTACCAAAAATCTTGAGTATTCTTGTGGGTGGCAGACGGATATATCCGTCAACCTTAGGCTATTCCTTCCCATGTTTTATTTTTATCTATAAAATGTATCTATAATTCGGAAGTAAATCTAAAACCACTCAGATCCGCTCCCATGTCCTCAATCCTATTCCCCGCCTAGACTTCCACTACGTAAAGACTGGTTCTTATATCCATATCATATACATAATACATATCCATCACATGTGTGAAGTGAAGTGACAGGCAGCAATATAGGTACGAGTATGTTTTATCTATGGCTACGCACACTTTATGGTGCAAAATAGCTGAAACAGCTGCGGCAATTATTATTGCCAACAACAAAAACAAAATAACCCATTTATAATGCATTGTTATATTTATTAACCGTATTATAAAAATTGTATCAATTCGTTTTCGGGTGGATACATCCGTCTTTAGCCGAGATAAGAAATTTCTCGGGACGGATGTACCCATTTTCAGTCCGGAAAGTAAACAAAGATTGGCGGATAAATCCGTCCATAGCCCTGGAAGGGTTAAACAACCAAATTGCATTGTTAAACAGGGTTACATAATAAGATACATGGAACACGTTCTCATGAGAGTTGTACTATTTTTATGGTAGAGGTATTTAATAAATAATATGCTTGACTTGATTCATAATAATATTTATTATAATTTAGAACGTACATCAGAAGTTACATACAATGAGAGCCATGTTTCTAGAGATAATGTGAAGAAGACCAAAAGCTGTAAACTCGCAGGTGTACCAACACATTTAAAACAGACCAGTGGCAGTCGGTACAACTTGTAGTTGAGTCGTGTCCGTCGTGGCGTGTTATGGCCGGCCGCGCATCTTTTTGTAATTTAATGTATTTGTGCGTGTTAAATGTTTTATTCGTGTATTTTGACGACTACATCATGATCCAATAATTTTATGTTTGACGACAAAGCTTGAAAATGAAACGCCAGTTTCGAAACTAGTCGCTTGTTTGTAAGACTATTCAAGGATTGACGACGTAAGGTACTTAAACCTATTTTATACTGTCTTAAATCAATCCTGGAGGCAATGCTGAATAAATTAAAACATTTTTATTCACAACACTTCCCCTTGTGAAGAGAATAAATGTACATTTTAAATGTATGCCAAATGATTCATGTGTTGATGTGGTATTCCCAGATTCAAGAACAAATAATTAATTAATTATGTTATTTACCTTTTGATTGCCAGGTTCTTGATGAAATAATAATGTCAAGAACCTGGCAATCAAAAGGTAAACAACATACCTAATTGATGCATGTGTTATTATTCAATGTTATTATTATGTTATTATTAGCAGACTACATCTTAACTGTGTGGATAAAGAAACTCTTTTTTTAATTTGTAATAAGATTTATTATAATTTAGAACGTACATCAGAAGTTACATACAAGGAGAGCTATGTTTCTAGAGAGAGCGGATAATGTGGAAAAGACCAAAAGCTGTACACTCGAAGGTGTTCCAACACATTAAAAACATTTATTCATAACAAGTGTTATGGTCGCTGACCAAGACCAACCAGGCGCACACAGGTGATTTTGAGTCTAGAGGCCCGTGTACACGTGGCTAGTAGCATTCTCTGCTAGGCGTATACTAGGTGTGTGTATAGTAAATGCTAGTAGTATCAGCGTATCAGCTAATTTTCTCTATTAGCACAAGTTAGGCACTCAAAAATTTCCATCTACTCCTGGCTAGTTTCCCAAATAACCCTATATAATAAGTTATTGGCGCTGATTTTACCTTTTACCTTCGAAGTCTTCAGCACAATCCGTAGATCGGGGAATTGTCATGGTTCTTCCATCTGGACGGGTTTTCTTTCGCTATATGTTCACGAAGTCAGCTGGCGTATGTGTGTGTATGGATCAATCTACCCCATTTACTTGATCCTTACCTTTTACAATTTAAAAGGTAAGGGTTAACTCTATTATTTAATCTATGATAACGACCCTGTCCAACATGTTCTTTCCTCTACTGCTTCTAGTAAAATTATCGACTTGTGGAGTTGGAGTCTGGACTCTGGACACACTCGACGTTCTGTACCCACGAGCACCTCAGCTTCCACAAGCACAGAAGGCCTTCGAACAGTTCCTGGGATAACAGGTATTTGTGTAATAGCTTCACCATATATCTTTATTGGACCTGTTTCTGTTTAGATAGTTGTTTTTTTCAACAGTTACAGTTGCGAACTGTGCATTGTGATTTTGAAAAGGTGTTTATTCTTTAATCTTTACTGTTTGTTTACTTTTGACTTGAGCTGCTTGAAAAGGTGTTTTATGATTATAAAAATTAACGTTTTGTGAGTGTGCTGAAGCTGATTTGTTATTAGGTATTGACAATTAGCCTAAATGTTTTGCGTGCATGAATTAATTATGAAGATTTAAATGTTTACTTAACCTATATTTTTCGGATTCCTCAAGAGAGAGTGATTGTTAGGTTAGGTTAGGTGTTTGTTTGTGTGTGAATTTGTTAGATCGCAGTTTTGGTAGTGGTAGGTCTAAGAGAGAGAGAGAGAGAGAGAGAGAGAGAGATACTTTACTAAGCAATCGTCAAGATTGAAAATGGCGTCATAAACAATAGGTCAGTAAGTATTTATAAATACAAAAATGTGTACAAAATCGAATGAGTCCATGTTTTTACACTTGAAAATTGGGCCAGTCCAAAAATTCTGCAACAGAAAAAAATGGTCGTTCAATCAGCCACTTGTGCAACGTCCTCTTGAAAGAACCAAGGTGAGACCTCTTCACTTCCATTGGTAGGATATTGTACAGCTTGGCTCCGGCGTATGTGGGCTTTCGCTGAAACCTCGTTGTGCGGTGTACTGTCAGGTTGAAGTCCTGGGCGTTCCTCGTGCTGTATGCGTGAAGGCTTTGGTTTCTCTTCAAATTTGCGGAGTTTGCAAGGTTGATCACTTCCAGAAGGTAAATGTTGACCACAGTTAAGATGTTAAGGTCGATGAAAGCTCTTCTACAGTTGTCTCTTTCATCAAGTCCCACCAGAGTACGAATTGCCTTATTCTGAAGTACGAGCACCCGCTTCAAATTCACCTGACTTGCAGCGCCCCAAAGAACAATGCCATAACGTAAATGGCTCTCAAAAAGAGAACTGTATGCAATTCCGACAGCGTCCATGGTGCTTACACTCTTCACTCTTCTGAGGGCGAAGATGGCAGTGTTGAGCCTCCTGCAGAGCTCGTCAAGATGGTCTGACCATGACAGCGAGCTGTCAAGTACCACACCTAAATACTTCGTGGCCTCAACACTTTCAATGTCAGGGAAAACGGACACCTCCTCCTTCCTATGACCAAAATTGAGCTGATTTGTCTTCTTTACATTGAATACGAGATCGTTCATATTACAGTACTCTACTGCCATATTCATAGCAATGTAAGATCGGACTTCCAGGTCATCTCTGTTTTTGCATGACATAAGGAGTACCGTATCATCGGCATACATTATTGACTTGCAAAAAGGCTTCGCTAAGTTAGCCTCTAAGGTAAACTTAACTTAGGCATAGGCCTACTCTTATTAATAGATAAGTTATTAATTTAACTTTTTCAAAGGCAATAACTTAGACCTAAACTCCACTGAAAGGCCCAACTAACTTAACTCAACCTAACATTAACAATCACTCTTTCTTGAGGAATCCGAAAAAGATAGGTTAAGTGAACATTTAAAACTTCATAAATAATTCATGCACGCAAAATATTTAATTGTTAATACCTAATAACAAATAATCAGCTTCAGCTCACTCACAACACTTTAATTTTCATAATCATAAAACACCTTTTCAAGCAGCTCAAGTCAAAAATAAACAAACTGTAAAGAATAAACGCCTTAAAATCACAATGCACAACTGCAAACTGCAACTGTTAACTGTTGAAACGAAACAACTATCTAAACAGGTCCAATTAAAGATATACAGTGAAGCTATTACACAAATAGCTGTTATCCTGTGCATGTGGAAGCTGAGTTGCTCGTGGGTATAGAACGTCGAGTCTCTGGACACAGCACGAGCTCGTCACGTTCTGTGGTTGTCTGCTAGCGTAACAGGTTGTTTACATAACCATAACCTCTAGGCTACCATATCATTGTTCTTTAAACTAACCACCAAAGATTATGTAATATGTGGTGTAACTGTATACCGGCGTGAAATCATTTGGGAAGCTGTAGCTGTACAGTATATCTTAGCCTCCACTAATATCCAGCCTCTTCCAATCTCCTTCAGTTTTTAGTCGAAGTGAAAATGCCCCTTCTTCCAACAAACAAGAGGCCTATTGCTTACTTGACAAGGGTTGAGAAATTCAGTGCTTGTCACAGACTTCACAGGTAAAATTTACTTTTAAATTATAATAGTTTTATTGATTTTTCCATTATTTGTTATCTCACTTCCTTCAACCCTAACTTTGTAGGGTTGATCATAGTGCTGGCATTAAACTTACCAGTCATAACTCAGAAACTTGACTGTTTTAACCTGACAAGTAAACGATTGGAAAGGAACACCATTATTAAAAAGGTTAACTTATATAAATCAGATCATTTTGACTTTCTTTTATAGGCTTAGGAGTTTGTTTTTTAGCATTAAGATTTCAATAACTTATCATAGGCTATTTCAAAACTAAGCCTACTGTCATAGATTTTTAGACCCATGTATGCATAACAAATAACAATGTAGGTACATACATCGACTCTCCATTGCAGCATACATAATGGAGCCCCTCAAATTGCTATAAAGTGCAATTAACCCTCTGTTCGGTCGCAATGTATCATTTTGCAAGTAAGAACCTTTTCAGTTGCTGTTTTTCGTGTGCGCACCGATCGTCATCTCCTCGCTACTACAGTAGGCAGTGGGCACCCCCTTCCCTAGCCAAACCAGCCAGTGAGTGCTGAACTTGACCTTGTTGAGGGCACATTTTTTTAGTTGTATGAATATGGCACAGTGCAAAGTCTACTTGCAGTATTCAAAACAATGGGGAGCGAGCTGGTATAATGGTTAGAGCATGGGAATTCGGTCCCTGGGGTCCCGGAATTAAATCCCGCCAAATCACCAATGGATTTTATCCAAGTGATAATAATGCCGCAACCACTATGTCTAGCCTGAAGTTATTGTAAAAAACCATAAATTGTTGGTTACTATGACTGTGCTAAATTTCGTGCCGATCGCTTCAGCCGTTCAGGAGGAGCATTTGTAAAACAGAAGCAAGAGTATAGTAAGAGCTGAGCTTCGCTCCGCTCAACAACAATCAAATCAATCATTGCAAAGACATTAAAACGATACATCAATTTAACTAGCCCTAAGTTATATCAAGTAGGCTAGATAAAGTGCGACTCTCCTGGTAATTATTTAGGTGCAACCGACAGAATTTTAAGTTATTTTCATTTGACTTCAGGTTCCAAAATGCAATGCTTTTTTGCTGGAAAATTGTAATTCATTGAAAATATTATTATTCAAGGATTTTGTCCTCTCCCCCCCCCCCCCCCCCCAACTTCCCTCTTCTTAAGTGACCATCTACCTACAGTGTTCTTTTACGTTATGTCTTTAGTTTTTCCGTTTGATTTGTTTTTGTTGAATGGTTATAGGCCCCTAATGCTCGCCTAAAAATCAAAAGGTTGCTAGGTCGAGCCTGAGAAGTACCTAACAAAGCTACCTACCCATCTCACTCCATCCTACACTCATAGTTGGATCATTGTTGAGCCTCTTGCCTCTTAAAAATATTGGGACATCTTGTCGTCGTCATTACACATAGTACATTTAACATATAAACACGAACCCGGACAATAACTTTTTACAAAAATGAATGCGCGGCCGGCCATACCGCGGTGACGGACACGATGCAACTAACCGACACCTGTCTGTTATTATTATTCGTTTAGAATTCTGTACAACGTTGATATTTGTTACAAAGATGAAAAATTTTACAAGGTAATAAAATAACTTCCGCTCTAGTGATTACTATGACTAGAGCAATACTCTCCTGATAATTAGACCAATTTGTAAATTACAATGTAAAAATGTGGTTCGGATCCCATTATAACCTATAGGTCCCTTAGTTGCCATTGGCAGTTCGTCCGGCTGTAAAGGCCATTAATTAACAGTCCTGTCCAAAAAAGGGACATGTCGGCCTTATCTAAAACTTAAATAAAATTTGCTATAACTAAACACTAAATAATATAACTCAATTTGTGAAAGGTGCAAATTAAGATATTTTCACATCACATATTGACCTAGTTAGGCAAAATCAAAATAGCCTAGTTAATTGTTTTGCTTTAGCGTTATTAATGATTTTTCTACAAATTTATTTGTTTTCCAGTCCACATCTAAATGACGAGGAAAATTTGGAGACTTATGGAAAATGTAACAACTTTCATGGTCATGGCCATAACTACACAGGTAAAGAGCTTTGTATAGAGGTCCTAAAATTATTATTATTAAGTTAGTCCTTGAAGTCAAAAGACAAAAAACCACAATGTAGCTAACATTAGGTTAAAGTATCTGAAAATTTCAACGGCCATAATGACCTGGCAATGTACAAGCAAGTTTAGATAACATAAATATAAAAGAATTTGATAACACATTTTCAATTTATTAAAACTGAAGCTACCAAGCCTACAGCTAGAGTTATTATCTTTATTAGTGGGTTTTGAGAAGCATATACAGGGTGGTTGGTCATCAGTGTTACAAAATTTTTTTGGCGTAAGTACTAAGTAAATGCAGTGTAATGATGCATATAAAAGGTTCCAAGTCCAAAAATTAGCTTCCCAAAGAATTATTTTATGTTTTTCTAAAATAACTATGTTTTCAAACTTAATACAGCTATTTCTCAATTACCTGTAAATGGATTTGAGTAGACAATGTCATTTTCGTATTCCGTAAACGCTGGGTCTTGTTTCAGTGGAGGTGACGTTGAAAGGCCCCGTCACAGAAGATAGAGGGATGGTGATGAACATAAACGATCTCAAGAAGTATATGAACACCGCAATAATGGTTCCAATGGACCACAAAAATCTCGACAAGGACGTTCCATATTTTAAGAACGTGGTGAGCACGACTGAAAACGTAGCGATCTTCATCTGGAACAACCTCAAACAAGAACTGGAGGATCCTTCACTCCTATATGAAGTCAAGATTTTCGAAACCGATAAAAACATCATTTTGTACCGTGGAGAGTAAGCTACGTTGTACAGTACAGCTTCATTTTTTTGCATTTACAAAAACGTTGCATTTATTTTACTTAATATGTATGTAAGTAATGTCTTAAGTATGAAAAACAGTGACATTTCACTCAAAAGGTCAACACTGAAGAATAAGAAATTATATTTTTTTTAGTTTTGTTGTATTTAGGAAAATTTACAACTTTTATTCCTATAACACTTATTTTGTCAATCAATTATTTTTAACCAAACTTGTATTTTTTTAACAATAGTTTTTGAATGGTGTTTTTATATTTTATTTGCTTATATTGTTGTTATTCGATTCAAATGTTTATCTTGCTCTATATACTCTTTAGAAAATTATAATGTGGCACATTCCATAAATGTTTAAATAAAATTATTTTTGTATCTAAAAAAAACTTGTTAGTTAATTTCTTTAATAACCAATTCAAAGAGCTTTTTATGTGCTTGCCTTTTGTATTAGATTTGTTCGGATTCTTTTAAAAATGTAATTGGTACCTTTGATAAAGTAACACAATTGCAAAAATAAATAGTCCTAGTTTGAAAGAATTTTTTTTTTTTACATAAACAAAGTAAAAGTGAGAAGAAATTGATAAAAAAAATCCTATTACTGTAGTAGCTATGATACTATCATTGACTATTGGATTAATAGTCAAAGATACTACGCAATATTATAAGATGACCAGTAGATAATATTCCAATTAGAAATTTGATACGTTGAATCAAATACTTAAACAATGGGAATTCATAAACCTAAACTTGTATTAATTGATGTTTAAGGACAACAAATCAGTGTAGTTAAATAGAAACATACTTTCAGATTAATTTTACTTTATTTATTAACTTACCATCTCAGGATATATAGCTTAAAGTAAAAGTCAAATCCCCTTCATTATTCTACTAGGAAAAACATGTACTAGTCTCGGTATATAAATATAAATTTATTTCTTTCATACAAAATAATCAAGAATGTATACGGTTTGTCAGCAAAGTAATTGTACAATACGAGGTTATTTTAATAGTCCTGCATCAGTCTGTACCAGCAGGTTCGACAAAATAACCAGTTTTGTTGTGTAGGTCTCCTTCTTCTTTTTTCTCGTCTTTTGTCCGATTCTCCAGCCCTTGGTCGTGGTATCGGATGGGATAAGTCAGCTGATTACCTTTGTCCCAAGTGTAAAGTTCCTGTGAAGCATAATTACCGTGTAAAAAGTGAATTTCAACCATAGAAGGATTGAGGAATTAGACATTTGTCTCTTAATTAAACTACTCTAGACTCCCTTTCCTCTAGATTCCTCAGACCTGGATCCTTACTATAACCAAACTTAAACAATCCTAACCATGAGAAATTAACAAAAGTTAGCACAAAAATTTATTGATACTTCAAAGCTTGCTTATTAGTGAACTAAAGTATTATCCCAAATAATAAAAGAAGTGAATGTAGTTAAAATGTCTTTATGTAACAAAATGTGCAGTCTGATATTGAAGTTGAGTTAGATTTGCTGAATTTATTACGTCTACTTAAGCACTTGTTGAGTTACCTTGTTTTTGTAGTTGTATCCAATCATGGTTGTTCGTCTGAAGGGATTTGTGAAAGGAATATCCACCTCAACTCGCTTATTAGTAAATAAATCAAGCGCAAACCTGAAAAATTAAATTTAAAGCATTACTTTTTTACTAACTAAACTATGTATTGGTAGGCCAACTGAAGATAGTTTCAATTTGAAATATGTAAATTCGGAAAGAAACCATAATTCTCGTGACGAATAAAAAATTGGTGGTTTTGACACAGCGGAATATGGAATCAAGACATTGCAGTTTATGATTTAAACTTCCTGCGCTCTCAGGGATAGAAGGGAACGAGGTGGCTGACAAGTTAGCAAATGTTGCGTCAGCCTCTGACTTCAAGGGACCACAGCCTTTCTGTGGAATTTCTTGTGGGTATGCATGTCGTTCAGTCATGTCATGGGCTCAGCAGGAACACAGGAAAAGATAGGTTAGGCCTCAACACCTTAGGGTAAGTTAGCTCACTCTCTTCTCCCATTCCCAGATGGTTGCATCCAATGCTCTACGATTAGACAGGAGGCTACTTAGACAGATCACAGGAATGGTCACTGGCCATGGCTTCCTGAAACTGCACCTCCATCGCTTGAGGATCCATAATGGAGACACTGCATGTAGGAAATGTGCAGTCCGAGGAGACCACAGATCATCTAATACTATGACTGTACAGCTCTGAGTGTGGTAAGGGATAGCCCTCTTGTAACAATGACAAGGGGCAGACACCTTCCTCAAGAGGAGCTCATAGATAGGATGCTGAAGTTGATCAAGAAACTCAGGTTTGATGTGCTCTCACGCACCAAGCGCGGAGCACAAAAAGCCCATCAGTGGCTGACGTGCATCAGGACAAGGCCTGTCCTGACAGATCAATCAAGCTTTATAAAATGTAGGCTACTTATTTGTCTCTACAATTTGTACCATGAGTTTGAACAATCAAAAGACAAACTGTCTAGATTTAGTTATTCATTGAAAATGCTTTAATTTAATTTTCTTTGAGTTCTTTGTTGTTTGACCGTGTTTCTAATCTTTCTATGTGCAGGGGTTATAGGCACAGGCTATTATGAGTATAGTTGGCCTTAGGCGGTGCACGGCCCAGTGCAAACATTCAGAAAAGGTCCCTTACTAAATAAGCAGCATCCCAACAATGCCAACTAACTTTCTCGTTTCAAAGCCATTAAAAATGACCACCTCCTCAATAATCTTTAAAACAAAATAATATTCTCTAAACTCACCTTATATTAGTGTTCCTCTCCTGTGTGCTATCAACAACATAGAGTACACCACACACAATAAACATTTCCCCGGCCTTACGATGCGAGACGCTGATGTTCCAAGCGTATTGCACCTCGAGGCTCTTAGTTTCCAGCTTCAGTACGACTGTGTTGTTTGAGTCCTCCAGTCCGTAAATCACCCAGAGTCCGTTATCGTCTACGGCAAAGTCCATGTAATTGTGTTGTTCATTGTACAGCTTCGTCAGGTTACTGATCACAGTGTACGGCACTTGGTCGTTAATGTGAGATATCCGACTGTTCAGCTCGTACCTCACGATGACTGGTTTGCTCACTTCATTGATCTGTTTGATCGAACAGTAGTAAAACGTTCCGTTGAACACAACATGAGCACTACCCTGCAACAAGATAATGGAAAACGGAGATTTTGACAAGTTATTTATCTCCCTGGGTTTTCTGATAATGTATCTATTGTGCTTGTATGTCTACCTATGAAATGTTTTATTGTTGTGAACTAATGATTCAGTGATTTTTTTCAAGAAAGCATGTGTTTATGTTCGTAGTCGCACAAAAAGAAATCAAAAGTTAAACGATTCGTTGTACGAAATGCCCAAAATGTTGATTAATTTGTCAATGGGTGAGATATTAATGAAAGAATAATTGGCTATTCGTGGCACAGGTAGAATTGAATTAAATTTACAATAAATAAATTGCATTGTAATTGTTTTAATGGACAGAAAGAAGAAAGAATGTACTGTTACTAGCACTAAGCTGAGTGACTAAAACAATAACAATTCAACCTACATACTTTTAAAAATTAAAACAAAGGTCTTGGAGAAAAACTAAAATTATTTCTCAATATCTGAAAATATTAGTTCCATTTCAAATTTGATTGTTATGCTGCTCTACTACACTCACCGTGAATGGGTGCATGAGTTCGTATTTGCGGGCTGATTTGTTCTGGCGGAACGTAGTCTTGTTGGAGAACTCGTACAGATGGTTGGGGTCAGCCTCGTCAGTGGTCCAGATGGTGTCGTCTGTAAACTCCGGCTGGGTGGGACCCGGGTCTCTCATCCACGACCCGTACGTTGCGTCTGTGAACCTGTGGTACACTGGCTTGCCCACCGCATACACCAAACAGTCTGGAAAAAGAAGAGTGCTTGTTTTTGTTGTTTAATGACATATTATTTCTAGTTTTTATTTTTAGCAAATTTCCCCTTTAGGAAAGCTAACTGTTACCGTAGATGGCATCGTTAGACCTCTCAGACCGGGGGCCAATCTACTTTTTCATTTTGATATCCCCAGAGGATAAAAATGTATTTCAATTTGTACTTTTATTTTTTTTTACTTGTACATGTATTTTCTTTTAATTTCGTTGTTAATTTTCCTATTTGTTGACTTACTGAGATCCCTGTTCTTGAGACCGGGGTAAGTTGTTGCGCTGTGCAGCGGACGAACATCCAACTCCTTGTAACCCAGCAGCTCATGTACGCTGTACAATCCCGACTTACAGCTCTTGCTGTACTGTTTAGGGTCTGGGCATGTCTGACAGATGGGAGCTGGAGGGCAAAGATCTTTCAAATCAACCTGAAAATTTCAAACATGTTAAAAGCAGTTGAAATAGGCAGGTTTTTTTTAGATCTCCAGTCAACAATTTGATGTTTTTAATGATCTTTAGTTTAAAAAATAACATCATATAGATTTTTGACGCCTACAATAATTTATGTTATTATAATTTTCACCTTTTCAGGAGGTTCGGGTCCGAATGTCGCCCCCGTGTCTGTGTCCAGATCGTAGCTAGGAGGCCGAGCCAAGTTTCTGTCCATCTCTAGAAAACATGAAAATACTTTTACCCCAAAAGTAAATTATTTAACCCTCAGAGTGCCAGGCGAGAAATAAAAGTAACGCTCAAAAAATGCCGATGATTTTTCCCGAAGGTCGCGCTAAAAATGCCGAGCGCGATCTGGCGATTTTTAGGTTAAAATTTCGTAAAAATCGAATTTTCGATATTTCGACCAACGAAAATCGATGTATCGCATCTAGTAACTTTCGACTCAATGTTAATATATGGGTTAAAAGAATCCGAGTATCCATTCGGTTGTTATGACAACTGTTCGATCATTACGAAACGTCCGGTCAGCCGGACGTTGGCACTTTTGGCTCGTTCTAAAAACGTCCGGTCGGCCGGACGTCGGCACTTTTGGCTCGTTTTAAAAACGTCCGGTTCCCCGGACGTTGGCACTCAAAGGGTTAATGTTAAAAAATAAACTTATCCACTATTTCTGCTAGGAGCCCAATAAATCAAAATTAATGTCTGGATGATTTGACTTAGGTTTACTTGGATTATTGCAGTTATTGTTCATCACTTGTTGGCAAAACATTCTCTTCTTCAGGATCTGAAATTGTCAGCGCCTAGAGATGGAGTAGCCTAGAACTAGTTATAACATGATAAGATTAGTTGACAAAACAGCGATGAGAATCAAAATAAAACCTACTCATTATACCCTTTTACTAAATATTTTTACTGACTGATACATTTCAACATTTAGGTCATTATCACAGTCTTAATATTATTGAATCTTAAATATGTAAACAATTATAAAATAAAATCGCCCATCCCAAGTAGCACACATCGTTGGCCCAACGTTGGGAAATGGTCGGCACGGTTGGGAAATGGTTGGCAGAAATTATAACAATTTGCCAACGTTGGCCCAACGGAAACTGGTATTCGTTGGCCCTACAAAGGAAAGAATCGTTGGGCCTTCGTTGGGTTTTTAAGTATAAAACATTCTAAAACGAATTAAAAAAAATTGATTTATTTTAAAGTACATAAATGTTATGGCAGCAGAATATAAGACAAATATTGTAAAAATTTGGATCTATAATAATTGTAGTCAGATGATGTTGTGATACTACTTAGATACAGTAGGGAACACCTGCTTAACATATAATAATTATATATACTATATACTATACTGAGGTTATATAGTATACTGTGATCATGGCATTAATGTCCGAAACATGTAAGTAATATAAAATGAAATGTTTTTAGGGTACTGTGGTCTTAGTAATAATTATTATAATTCAATTTTTCTTAACAATATTCTTTAACTTATTTAAGCAAGTTTTTAATAGTTATAGAGAAAAGATTAATTAATTATATAACAATCAATTATAACAGTTGCCTACTAATCTAATGGTAATTAAATAATCTATATTCAAATACTAGTATCCTCTCCAACTACCAGAAAAACAATTAAACTACTTGAGGCCTAAACAGATGAACAGAATCATATTATACTGTAGCATCAAAAATATTTAAAGTATTAATTGTGACCATTGCACCTGTCGGCTACTCTTTGACCACTTCAAAACACTCATAATCAATAAGCACAGTTAGCTCAGAGTTAAGGCGTGAGGCTCACATGCCGACGGTACCGGGTTCGAGACCCGTCCCGGCCAAATAATTTTATCTCGTTTTATTTTCAAAATAAGTTTTTATGAACTATTTAATCAATTTACTCAACTCATAATTATGCTTTTCATACAAAATCTTTATTATTTTGTGTTTTTTATGTTTATGCCCAATAGGATGGTTGGCCCTTCCGCAAAAATTGGTTGGTTGGCCGTAAGACCGTAAGACTGAGTGCCAAAACATACCGTTGGCCAACGATCGACAGAAACGTTGGGCCAACGATTTGCCAACGGTTTTTGCTACTTGGGATCTTTACTTTTATATCTAATCTATCTTTCAATTTTCTATTAAACCACTGTAGCAATAATAAAGTTCTGACATAATACAATCGTGGTAAAAAATCTGTCAAATTAAAATTAAGGCCAGCAAAAATATCTTATTCTAAGATTCCATTACCGGTAATTCATTGTTTGAAACGTTAACATACCTTCAAGCTGGAATTTCCCGGCAGTTTTCCCAATTTCATTCTTAGCCACACATTGATACTGTCCGAAATCAGACAGCTCAACATTGTTAATTAACAGTTCCATTTTGGACTGAAAAAGAAGAAAAATTGGTTCATTTCTACTAAACAAATATAACACAAATCATTCTAAAGCAAGAAAAGCGTAAACTAATTTTGCAAAAGAGCAATAATAATAATACACGATCTTCCCTATCTGACTATTATCCTTTATTGTTAATGCAAGTATATAGGTATTCCATTTCATGCTGTAATCAGTTTTAAAATAATGTACCTGGGGACCGAGCTTTGCTCGGGAACTTTATCACTATACTCTGAGAGTATTCTTGGGTCAATGTAAATCTATCCCAAAAATATTATTTTGCGGTCTATCTTTTCTTGACATCTATTTAACTTCTGTTAAAATAATAATATACAAACAAACCTTTTACAGGGCTGAATTGAAAACTTGATAAAAACTATAACCCTTTTTTGTTAGCCTACTTCATATTGCCTAACATACAGCCTACTTCAGTTTGATTAAAAGATTAAATCAAACTTTGGCATCTTTCTGTAAATGGCTCATTCAACTAGTTCTGTTTGAATAAAACATAGGCTACAGCTGGTCCATACGATTCAGTGATTCATTTAGGTATACAAAACCCAATGCTATTAAAAAGGCGCGTTTGTTAACTCCTATGAAAGTTAAACGTTGTAGTTTGTATAAATAACTTTAAAATGAACACAACGATTCTTAAAAAGTAATTTTTAATCAGAGGTAGATTTATAAAAAAAAGTATACGCAACAATGAAAAATTTTAACTATTTTATTTGAGGAAGATACCTTGTATCTAATGGAGCTTTCCATGATAGTCATAGTGTACTTGGTGTCAGTTTCCAACAGCTGTACGTTGTCTTTCTTCCAATACCTCAATGCTTCTGGGAAAGCTTCAATTTCACATATTAGACTTGCGTTCTGCCCTACGACTGCTCGTAAGTGCTGGTTTCCGACCTTTATCATTGGTACAACTGGAAAGATTTACGTTACAAAGTTTTTAAAAGTGTTACTGAAATAGCTAGAACTATGGTTAGCAGTGCTTCCCAATGGTGGTATGACTACAGAAAAAAGTTGATTCCTTTTGGCTTTCAAGCTACTATAGAGTAGATATTCTATCACAACTGATTACAGAACATATTATTTACTTTCTATAATAAATGATGTAATCATATCATGGTTTAACTCTTAAGTAAAAGGAAACAACTAAAAGCATGTTTCTAAGACTCTCCCTTAGTACATTGGTCTTGCATTAATTGCACCCAAGAATTCCTTAATTGCGCTAAGACCTCATAGGGTCACAAAAAATGTTCCTTAGTTGCGTCAAGTCCAAGCCAGGTAAGCCAATGAACGTATTGGTTGGCTCCCTGGAGTAGTTGGCGCAATTCAGGAATACCTGACTACCTGACTCAGGTCAGTGGGCGCAGTTAATGCCCTCCTCGTACAGTCGATATCTGTTAGTGAAATTTCAGCTTAATTGGTACAGAAAGACAAACAGCTCATTTTTGTAAAAAACAAGGAAGTTCATGTTATTGTTGTAGTAATTTATAAGTTGGTAAATTAATTTTAACAATCTATATCTCGCTCGGTTTCTAAATCCTCTCTTAGAAATGTTCCAATGCTTTAGAGTTTCATGATATGATCTTAAGTTTGTAAATGCCAAAAACAGTATATACTGTATACATCAACTCTTTCAACTGGCATCTTAAAACATTATTTCTATCGTGCTAGGCTCACATTTGACTTCTACATTGAAGGTTTGGTTTTTAGGTGGAGGAATGCCATTTTCCGCCACACACATGTAAGTTCCCATTTGATCCCTTCGAATCCTCGTGATGTTAAGTATCTGACCAACTATTGACGAATCTGTAAAAAACAACAATCGTGAAAGATTTACTGATATCTCCATGATTGAACGGACTACAACAAGCAGTATTTATAGTTTGTCAGTGTAAAAGTTTAGTTTAATTACAAGTTTTCACAAGATTATCTTTTGGTTGTGGATACATGTTTTGATTAAATCTACTAACTTATTGATTGATTATCTATCCACTACCTACCAAATTCATGACATAAATGGAAGAAATACCTAGTTAAAAAACTTATATTAAATGCTAAACAATTTGAACTTATTTTTTACGATCTTTGTTTTTGACACGGTAATGGAAGCAAACTTTAGCATCGTTACTGTGTCAAGGACTTAGTCACTGTTGGCTCTGAAGTGCTTAATTAACATTTTAACCACGGATATTGCTTATCTCATCCTCTTAGATGAGCCAAATATAAGGATAATTTCTGAATAAAATATGTTCCTGACATGACCCTCAAAAGCACAAAGGGCTTCTTAGAAACCATCCTATCTACCAACCCACCTGCCAATCATGCCTGCTTCGCTCTTCTACTGACCCAGTCTTACAAATTGCTTACTTCAAACTGAATAATATTTTCACTAGATAAACATTCACTTCAGTTCTTATGAATGCCTACCGCATTAAATTAACTTTTCATCACTCTGTATTCGAAAATAACAAATTTCCATACAGCTGAGATCTTTGAAAATCTTCAATTTCCATAGACCAAAAAAAAATCAGCTGACTTTTCCTGACATAAACATTACTTTCGCTACATAAACAATACTTTGCCTGACATAACAAAGTTACACCTGGAGAAAATGAATAGATTACGAAATATCAGATAATTTTTTTAAGTTTGATGAAGTAGTTTTTTCATAGTGATAAACCGTTCAGGTACTCGTCTTCGAATCACATGTAACACACTATCTCGCCCCGAAATAGGTCACTACTAGTAGTGAAATATAATATATTTTACTATAATAATTAATAACATTAATCACCCTATTCCTTTACCAGAAAACATGGTTTGCAAAGAATAAATAACTGCAGTTTATTCAAAGAGTCAAATCATGAAATAGTTACAACAACCAACTAAACTGTTCATCCAGATAAGTTGAAATATGAAATTTTGATTTTTATCTTACAAAAGTTTTACTCAGACTATTTAAACTCCACTATTATTTTATAAAAACAATGCGTATTATTATACAGTGAAATTATGTAGCACATTTCACCTTTCCATGCTCCGAGTTCTATTGTAGATGCATCGATTCTCCGCCATTGCACCATAGGGGTGGGATTGCCAGTCACTATACACCCCAGCCTCACGTTGTCACCCTCGTAGGCAGATACTGGACCAGGAGTCTCAGGGCCTGGTGTGAATGTATACACGGCAATGTGAAAGTGTATCAACTAAAGGTAGTGTGTGAATGTGCAACAATGAACAGTACCAGTTTGAATTTCTTTTCATACTACAATTTGTTGTTGTACTTCCACACTGTAACCCTAGAGACAATTTGCCGGTGAAATATCTATAGATAGTGTAACAGTTCAAGGCAAAGTGAAAATCTATCAACAGGAGACACAAAGAAATTTTAACAACCGAAGGTAGAGTGAAATTGTAACAACAGGAGGTCTCTACCTCCTGTTTTTACAAAAAAGTTAAAGTGTAGGTAGAGTGAAAGTTTAATAAGATGGGGTAGAGTGAAAGTGTGTCAATTATAGGTATTAACAACTGGATGTAAAGTGATAAACAACTGAGAGAAGAGTGAATGTGTAACAACTCAAGGTATAGTAACAGTATAACAATGTGATGTAGAGTGAAAGTGTAACAACTGCCGAGTTGTAGTGAAAGTGCAAAAAACATGTGGTAAGAGTGATGTGAAACAACTGGAGATACGGTAAAAGTGTAACGAAACTGGATGTATTTTTACATGTTTTTACTTATATCTTTAATATAAGCAATAGTGTTGAAGCAACAATAATCAAGAATGCTTATTTCTTCAAATTTATGAAACCTTCAGTCTATTCTATTTTATTGCAAAACTTTCCTAAGATGAATGTTCTGTTATTTTTTTAAAGTAGCAGTAAAACTAGATCACTATAATATATACCACTAAACAAACTGTACCAAACCGCTGTAGTGGGACTGTTCCTTGCATAGAGACAAACATAGGATTTGTCAATGGTTTTCTAACCTACCAACAATAGCTGGAGGTATCAACAGCTGAGATGACTTTGTTCCGTTGATATTCACTTGGTAAGTGCTCACTCCTGGGATTCCGTGGTTCCCAGGCAATCCAGGCTTCCCACTTCTTCCTCTAGGACCTGCTATACCTGGAAAAATTTGTAAACACTTATTGAGCGAAGCTCACTTTCCCTCACTTTGTAACTTCTTTGTAAGGGCATCAGAATGTAATGGCTTTACCAATTGATATGAAATTTGGCCAACAGCTAAAGAATACTAAACACAATGTTTTGGTAAAAAATATTTGCAAATTTCCTTCTGGATTTTATTTTACGGGTCATGCAATTTCGCTTGTTATTTTAATGTAAGTTGAAAGAAAAATTATATTGGGTTTATGACAGGGTCTGACTTAGGGGAGGTACAAATGAGGCATTTAGTTCAAAATTCCTCCGTGAACAGCGCTGTAGTAGAGAGCACTTTGGCAATGAAGGTTTACTAATCGCAAAAATAGTTCTGTTCATAAAATAAAATTATAAATGCCTCAAATTCAATTCTACTATTTTTTAATTATAAAATTAAACTATCATAACCTAACCGAACTAACCAAACTTGCTGATAAAGAAATAATATAACAAAAGTTTAGTAATCGGAAAAATAATTATGTTTATTAAATAAAACTAGAAATTGCTCAATTAAAATTTTATAATGACTTAATAATAAAATTAAACTGTAATAACCAAACCAAACCAACCAAACTTGCTGATAATAAAAAATCTTGGAAAAAAAGTTAACGCTACCAGCGGGAATCGAACCCGGGACCTACAGTATATCAGCCCGGCACGCTAACCAATAGACCACCGAGGCCGATGGCTGTTGAACGTTTTGTTACGGTAATGGCGTTCCCTCAGCTAATACGAAGATCTCAGCTGTCATCGTAGCCTCTTCTATACCTCCCCTGAGTAAATACCGTTTATGACATATGGGTTTATCTCGTTTCATTTAAATAAGATAAACATATGTTAATTGTTTGTAACTGTTTTGTTTGCATTTCAATGTTTACTTTCATCATAGGTTAAAGTTGGAATGTAACAGTTTATTAATGGAAGTAACAGTTTTGCTATATTTGTTTTGAGCATGCCTCAAAGGCCACGTCATAATATTGGTCGTCGCACCGATAATGCAAATATTGTAAGAGAGTGGTGTCGTGAACAAGAAGAACCAGATGAAGCAGTGGCGGAAGAAGCTGATAATGATAGGCAGTTAGCTAATCAATTCCAACATGAATTAGATGCAAAACAAATTTACTTCTGCACTAACTGTCATCGCCAACAACTAACAGCTTCAAACCAACAACCGATTTGTTCGCGTTGTCGATCAAATGCAACTAAATTCACAGTGTTAAATAATATGGATGTGTCAAGTGTCCTGAACGAATTAACTGACCTGACGATTGTAGAACAAATGTTGATTGCACAAGTACATCCTGCTATGCCCATTTACAAAGTACAAGCAAATGGTCAGGATGGCCAGTTTTACTACAAAGGTACAGTATGAACTATCAGATAAATTTGTCATTCTTTAGAATTTAAATAATATCGGGCAAACAAACGGTGAATCTGTTGAAAGGGAACATATTGAAGGGTGTTAGCTGCTTTAGCCATTGACAATCTTTAAACAATGCTTCACTCATTTATGCGTCTAAAGTGTAATGGCAGACCACCCTAGTATATTTTTATTTGTAGGCTATGTTTGTGTAGGGGAATATTTGTGAGCAGTCTTATCAGTGTGAAGAGGAAAAGATGGATATAATTTGTTATGTTTGTAGGAATAATGACATAAGAAGAATATGTTGAACCTATTGTTTACTGTACAAAAACACCTAAGTGACAAATTTTCCTTCTTACCTCTCGGCCCCTGGGGCCCCGTAGGACCAGGAAGTCCTCTTTCACCTTTAGTTCCTGGAAAAAAATCAAACAAATCTGTTAAAAACAAATCTTTACTCACCACCTAATTGTTAAATGCAGTATGGAGAGGATGTATGGAAACAAGATAAAAATAGGAAAGGCAATTTATTGTATTTGAAAATAAGATTCTTAGGAAAATTTATGCGGAGGAAGGAAAGTGGAGAAGACAAAACAGAGACTTTCCCTGTAGCAGCAAAGATGTACTTGTTCAACCTGTTATTCAACATTTGGGATAAATCTGACATGTTTAAGGAAATATTCTGATGATGGGTATGGAAATTTAATTTGCTTAGTCTGAAGGTTTGCTGTGGCGGGGGTATTTTCTTAGCTATTTTATACGTGGCTCTTGAAGTTAGTAAAATAACACACTGGATTGATTAAATAATTCCAAACCACCACCAGAGTGTGGTGAATTTTAGGGTGAACTGAAGATAGAGAAAGAAGAGAAGTATGAAAGAATGAATTATGTGATAGTTTTGTTAACAAGATCAGATTCATATGGACCAGCGACGCACATATGCGGCAGCCAGTTTCTACCCATAGACTGACGTCGCATATTTGCGTTGGTGTCACAATGTTATTAAAAAGCGTATATTTTGTATATAGTTTGTAACAGTATATTTGAAGGCCCTGAATTCTCTGCAGTGGTCTACAGGGATGTCTGATGCATATGTGCATCACTTAGTCTGTGAATATGATGATTGGTGACGTCATATGATGGTTGGCAAAACTGTTTTTTTTACTTTGCTGTATCACTGGCCCGTGGTCTGTGACACCCGGTCTATGTGTAATATTAAAATGTAAACCTCGGTCCATGGCAATGACCGCAGCGTCGCATGTATGTGGCAATCGGTAGCAAACCTGGTAAAAGATAATTAACATTACACATTTTACTTAAGGTACTTATTTTTGTTTACAATAACGTATAAAATATTACCATTGTATCCATGAGCTCCTGGAATTCCATCAGTGCCATTTCTTCCTGGAAGACCGTTTGTTCCAGGAACACCATCCAGACCATTCCTTCCGGGTATCCCATCTAATCCAGGTTCTCCTGGTATTCCATCCCTCCCGTCCAAACCTGCGGAACCTACAAGGCCAAACATTACAAGGTCGGAAAAAACATTCATATTCAACTGAAAATAATTTTAACTCTGCGCAAGCTGAGAGTTTATTTATCTAAATCTCCATACCTGCAGAGCCAGGTGGGCCCCTTAGTCCTGGGGGCCCCTGCGGACCCTTGTCCCCAGGATGTCCTCGAGGGCCCGTCTCCCCTGTCGTACCCCTCTCACCCTTCTCCCCTCTATGACCAGGATCTCCTCTAGGGCCAGGGGGCCCCACAGGGCCCGGAGTGCCAGGGGCCCCAGGGGGACAGTAGTCTTTAGCAGCTCGACAAAACCCTTCTATTGCGACCATCTTGAAACAAAAATATAAACTTAAATGACACATACATAGAGTAGAGTCAACAAAAATCTGTAAACAACTTAATGAAGTGATACGGAGATTTTAATTCAAGAGACTTATTTAAAATGTGATATTTTTTTTTTAATTGGTAACTTACTAGGGGTGTTTTTTTAAATACTTTTTATTGAAATGGCAACCATACGCAGGTAGGTATTTTTTGAATGGACATGAGTGTAGTGTAGGATAACGGGCATGATTACCCCACATTTATCAGAGCCTAGAGAATTAGGTGCCCAAACTGAACATCTTCAAATGCATGATAAATTGCATTTTTTAAATATGTAATTAAATTAATCCAAACAACAACCGTGATAGTATCAAGACCAGGTTAGAAGCCAATAAACATTCAGTAATACCTCCGCCACAGCAAACCTGCAGACTAAGTGAATTTCTATTTGCCTGGTTACATTTTAATCAAAATGTTCACATAAACTTGCCAGATTTATTCCCTACTTAAATTTTAAAAAAACATTATATTTAACGAGTTCTTGGGTTTGCTACAGGGATGAAATAGTGTGTTTTTTTGTAAAATTTTAATACTATAGTATAGTATGAATAAATTTACCAAATTTGATCAAAATATATCTATAAAAATTTGAACTAATGGTGTTTTTGACATCTATTTTGGGACATCAAAATTAAAAAGTAAAATTGGTCCTGGGTCTAGGTCTTATTGCCGTGCTGCCTACGTTAATAGCTTATTCCCTATATGGGAAATCTGCTAAAATACGCGAATGGCATTGTAATCAGCACAAACTAAACTAGACAAGCTTACCCTCTCAGACTAAAGTGCACAAACATTTAAGAGGTTTTACTGCTTTCCCTTAAAACTAATATTCTCAATTACAAAATTGCACTGGTGTAAAATAAAAACTAATTAACTCTGATTTTACCGGAACTCTAGAGTAAGAAGTCAACCAGAGCCACGGGTTGGAGGCTGCCTCTGTTTTGTTTTGTTTCTCTTTTTCCTCAAATTCAGAGCGCAGCTTCGGATTGACGAACTCCACGTTGACATCTTGAGATCCTTGGCTGTGCAGGACGTTTTCTGCTACGGCACTCTCGCGTTTTGTCCTCACTTTAACTTCCCCCTCCCCACCTTCTTTGTACCCTACGTAAACCAGCACTACCACTTGAAACAACACCACACTGGCTAACAAAACATTCACCACCTTCAAACTCGCTTGTAGTTCACAAACTGATCGAGTGTTTTTGCACACACGCTTATCTAAATTTTGAAACTTGCGGCGATGTAGCCCCAACAGAGTCTTGTCCCTGAACGCCATTTCTCCATCTCTCTCTAGCAATCCAACTCCAATCCGTTTAGATTGGACAATCACCCTCACAATTGATTCTGAGCTCCTCTCACAGCGAGATAGTTTTGTGGGCTCACACAATTGGTATATTTAACTTGATTAAGTAATATGATATCCTATCATACGGATATGATAAAGTTAACAAGGTTCAAAATACAGTTTCAGAGGGACATAATGATGTATTTGTTACATATGCAATTTGAATAAAGGAATGATTGATAGTAAATTAATTATTAAATAAGATTCAGAAAGAGACATTTTAGTTTTTTCCTATTTAATAGCCATAGGATTTAAACAAAGTTGTTAATATTTACTATTTAATATTTAAGTTGTAACATTTTTTGGCAATTTTTATGTCACTCACACTTTACCAAGATATCCTTGGACAGTATCAGATATAATGATAAAATTAATGTAAAAAATTAAATTATACTCTTGGATTGAATAAACTTTACACAAAGGGCAGGCAAGATAGAGATAATCTGTTAAAACATTGTATTTTGGAAAATAATAAATACATTAGCAAGTCTATAATAGAATGATCAAATTATTTGTTTTTTGGTATTTATAATTACTCTGTTCACAAACATTAGGTGGTTTGAGGGTAAGCAATTCCATCCCCTCCACTTTACTCTAACTTTGAAACAATAGCCACAGCTGATCAGCTGATGTATACATTAAGCTAAAAAGGTGGTGGGGGAACCTATAGTAGATATACCTTCCCCTTACTGCCTAAATGTAGTAAACAGTCTATAACATTTTTACAATAGAAATGCCCAATTAATGTTGTAGAAAGAGTCCAAACGGACCAATGTATTGAATGGTAAAAGGTCTGGTTTTGCTCATTATTTTAGAGTTTATTTGAAACACAACTTCCTTACAACATATAGCTTCCTTACGCATACTATTATAGTGTTGTAAATAATTAAGAAAAGTCAAGGTTCCTTTCTATGGAAAAATTTTTCTTGTAGATGAGTGAACGAAGTGAACGAATCTATGTATCGTGTATAGCGGAGTCGGAGAAAAGTTGTCCGCTGGAGTATGTGTGTGTGTGTGTTCGCACCTAAAACTCAAGAACCGTTGCACTTATAGCGTTCAAATTTTGCACAAATAGTTATGACACCAGTGTAAAGACACCATTAAAATTCTAGACGATTCCGCTCAGTAGTAATTATAAAATACTTAAAAAACATTTTTAAATTTGACCCATAAGAATAACATTAGGAGCTACCTTCTTCTTCTTTTTATTTGTTTACGTTTTGCGACCAACAATTTTGTTGTCTACTTAAGACAGAGAGAACGACTTTTTACTCTAAGCTCTTTCATTCATGGAGTAAACAGTTTGGCGTCTATGAATATATATCATTATAATTTCACAGCTTTCAGAATAATGTTATTTAAGCTAATTAAATCTCACAACTTTCATAATAATAAATTGAACTTAACAATATTAGTCGGCAGTTATATACCGTTTATGTTCAGTATTAAAATTTCGCCTTTTAATTAAAAGTATATAGGTATGTATGTATTTAGAACAAAGCAGCTTTTTACATTATTCAATTTAATTTTGGCATTGAATATTAAATATTCAAAAATGTTGGTATATTTTTATACTAAAATGCTATGCGAAGGGGGGGGGGGAACAAGTCCCCGACGTAGAGAGTAGTAAAGAAAGCGGAAAGGTGAGCAGTGAAAAGAAAGGAGTACGGAAACCCTTTATGACTGTTAAATTAACGTATCTGTAATACTTAAATGCTATGGAAAGATAGGGAAACAGGTCTACGATGTAGGAAGTAGTGAAGGAAATAGTGAAGGAAGTAGTCAAGGCGAGCGCTGCGGAGTGTGGGGGGCCTTTATGACAGTTAGAATAATGTATCTGCAATTCTAAAAATGCTATGGGAAGGGAGAGAAACAGGTCCACGATGTAGGAAGTGGTGAAGGAAGTAGTCAAAGTGAGCAGTCCGGAGTGTGGGAAGCCTTTGTGACAATTAGAATAATGTATCTGCAATTCTAAAAATGCTTTGGGAAGGGAGGGAAACAGGTTCACGACACTTAGGAGGTGGTGAAGAAAGTAGTCAAGGCGAGCATTCCGGAGTGTGGGAACACTCCCAGAATGGCAGTTAGATTAATGTATCTACCATAATAAAATGCTATAGGAAGGGAGGGAAACAGGTCCACAACGTAAGAAGCGGTAAAGGAAGTAGTCAAGGCGAGCAGTCCGGAGTGTAGAAACCCTTTGTGGCAGTTAGATTAATATAACTGCAATTCTAAATTCCAATAGGAAGGGAAGGAAACAGGTCCACGACGTCGGAAGCGGTGATGGAAGTAGTCAAAGCGAGCAGTCCGGAGTGTAGAAACCCTTTGTGACAGTTAGATTAATATACCTGCAATACTAAAATGCTATAGGAAGGGAGGGAAACTGGTCCACGACGTAGGAAGTGGTAATGGAAGTAGCCGAGGCGAGCATTCTGGAGTGTAGAAACCCTTTGTGGCAGTTAGATTAGTGTAACTGCAATTCTAAAATTCTATGGGAAGGGAGGGAAACAGGTCCATGACGTAGAAAGCGGTGATAGAAGTAGTCAAGGCGAGCAGTCCGGAGTGTAGAAACCCTTTGTGACAGTTAGATTAATATACCTGCAATACTAAAATGCTATAGGAAGGGAGGGAAAAAGGTCCACGACGTTGGAAGTGGTAATGGAAGGAGTCAAGGTGAGCATTCTGGAGTTTAGAAACCCTTTGTGACAGTTAGATTAGTGTAACTGCAATTCGAAAATGCTATGGGAAGGGAGGGAAACAGGTCCACGACGAAGGAAGCGGTGATGGAAGTAGTCAAGGCGAGCAGTCCGGAGTGTCGGAAGCCTTTGTGACAATTAGAATAATGTATCTGCAATTCTAAAAATGCTATGGGAAGGAAGGGAAACAGGTTCACGACACTTAAGAAGTAGTGAAGGAAGTAGTCAAGGTGAGCATTCCGGGGTGTGGGAACCCTTTGTGGCAGTTAGATTAATGTATCTGCCATAATGAAATGCTATAGGAAGGGAGGGAAACAGGTCCACGACGTAGGAAGCGGTAAAGGAAGTAGTCAAGGCGAGCAGTCCGGAGTGTAGAAACCCTTTGTGACAGTTAGATTAATATACCTGCAATACTAAAATGCTATAGGAAGGGAAGGAAACAGGTCCACGACGTAGGAAGCGGTGATGGAAGTAGTTAAGGCGAGCAGTCCGGAGTGTAGAAACCCTTTGTGATAGTTAGATTAATATACCTGCAATACTAAAATGCTATAGGAAGGGAGGGAAACAGGTCCACGATGTAGGAAGTGGTAATGGAAGTAGTCGAGGCGAGCAGTCCGGAGTGTAGAAACCCTTTTGACAGTTAGATTAATATACCTGCAATACTAAAATGCTATTGGAAGGGAGGGAAACAGGTCCACGACGTAGGAAGTGGTAATGAAAGTAGTCGAGGCGAGCATTCTGGAGTGTAAAAACCCTTTGTGATAGTTAGATTAATGTAACTGCAATTCTAAATTCTATGGGAAGGGAGGGAAACAGGTCCACGACGTAGGAAGTCACCGCTGTAGGATGTAGTCAAGGTGAGCAGTCCGGAGTGTGGGAACCCTTTGTGAAAGTTAAATTAATCTATTTGAAATTCTAAAATGCTGTAGGAAGGGAGGGAAACAGGTCTACGGCGTAGGAAGTAGTGAGGGATGTAGTCAAGGCGAACAGTCCGGAGTGTGGGAACCCTTTGTGAAAGTTAAATTAATCTATTTGAAATTCTAAAATGCTGTAGGAAGGGAGGGAAACAGGTCCACGACGTAGGAAGTAGTGAGGGATGTAGTCAAGGTGAACAGTCCGGAGTGTGGGAACCCTTTGTGAAAGTTAAATTAATCTATTTGAAATTCTAAAATGCTGTAGGAAGGGAGGGAAACAGGTCCACGACGTAGGAAGTAGTGAGGGATGTAGTCAAGGTGAACAGTCCGGAGTGTGGGAACCCTTTGTGAAAGTTAAATTAATCTATTTGAAATTCTAAAATGCTATAGGAAGGGAGGGAAACAGGTCTACGACGTAGGAAGTGGTGAAGGAAATAGTTGAGGCGAGCATTCCGGAGTGTAGAAACCCTTTGTGATAATTAGAATAATGTACAGTATCTGCAATTCTAAAAATGCTATGGGAAGGGAGGGAAACAGGTCCACGACGTAGGAAGTGGTGAAGGGAGTAGTCGAGGCGAGGAGTCCGGAGTGTGGGAACCCTTTGTGACAGTTAGATTAATGTATCTGCAATAATAAAATGCTATGAGAAGAGAGGGAAACAGGTCCACGACGTAGGAAGTGGTAAAGGAAGTAGTCAAGGTGAACAGTCCAGAGTGTGGGAACTCTTTGTGACAGTTAGATTAACGTATCTGCAATAATAAAATGCTATGAGAAGAGAGGGAAACAGGAAATAGGTTACGTATATTACCAATGACTTTGGTTAATTAATGGACGAGAAGTTAGGATTGTTGTTGACTGAGATTTGGTTTTTTTAAGAGGTTGGTCCAGCCTCTTTTAACCTTGCCCGTGCGTGGATTGTTTACAGCAAAGCAATTGGTGAGCCGGTACAGTACAAAGGTGAACTGTACTGATAAAATTTAGTGGCAGTGACCAGGATCCGAACTCACGACATCGCTGCCTTGGGCCCGAAGTTCGCGTGACGCTACCGACTTGAGTCACCGACTCACCATTATTTGCCCCGACTCATGGGTCGATTTGCCCATACAAATAACATTATTGTGTACACCAGTGACACCGGTAAGTGTGCTAGGTGTGGGTAAACTCTTTTATTATTGCGCTCATGTTCACTCATCCTGTTACGTGCAGAATAAGCGTACTACTAGTTATTCTTACATACATTAAATCGTTTATACATTGGGGAAACGTTCATAAGTCATCCATATGCTATCGATTTTGAAAGAACAGAAGAGATAATAATGTATTCACAGGACGAGTTATTCATTAAGTCACAGAAAATCATTATTAACGAGTAAAATAATAAATTAATTGTACGTTTTGTTGGATGTTGAAGGAATATACATATTGAAAAGACTGACTTAAAATGATTGCACTGATTTGAATACCGGTATGGAGTTATCCGTTATTGTAACCTTACAATACTTTTTTATGCCAAGTTTTATTTCCAAACACATTCCATAGAAATGGCCTGAACAGATATAACACAACCAAGAACTAAAATGCAATAACCATACAAAACTTATTATCTTGAGGGGCAAATGTTTAAAAAATTTACACATTAAAAAATATTTTACTACATGTTTTTGCCATTAGATAACTATGAGTCAAATTTTACCAAACAAAAAAAATTTTCACAACCAAACCCCTTAAATCCTAAGTTTCTTAAAACTTACTCAAAGGTTTACGACAACAAACGTGAATTTGTTTACCGGTATTTTCGTAGAATGGCCGATCACGATCATCCCATCTTCATTTTGTGCAATTACTTTCTCCTTGGTCCCATTCTTCTTCTCCCCCACTCTTCTACTTCCTACTTCCAGCTTGGGACCCTTCAAATCTTGGAAGACATCTACGGAATTGTCACCAAACAAGTCTATGGTTTCCCGTTTGACTCTTCGTTCGATCGAACCGCATTCATGTTGCACTGGAGTGATATATTCGTAAAAATAACAGAACCCCGCAACCTGTAGGAAAAATGAAACAGCTGCAAAGAAATATAGAATGCGGAAATGGGTGGGTGCATTTCTACACAAGCAGGATTGTGAAGTCATCTCGTTGTTGAAGATTGTACACAAGTGAGAGACATATTTAAAAGCATGCAGACCAATGAACTTTGCCCCATCAATTAGTCTAGTTTAACTTCACAGTTGTGCGTTGACTGCCCAGTCTATTAAGTAGCTAGACAATAGACACAGTATATTTGTATGAACTTGTATGTGTATAATCTTAAAAGATATTTTGAATTGTATACATGTAGTTTGTTATACCCAATGCGGTGCAAAGTAAATATCTGAATATCCAACTGTGTTTAATATTTAGGATTACAAAAATTGTAGTCTATTAAAACAATTAACTACTATTCACCATTCAAGTAAATTTGTATTCGTTCGTTATTTTCTCATACTATTGAAACTTAGGTATAGGTCTACCAGTATTTATATTGGTTTATAGATTTCAGTATAATGTAAATAAGTTTTAGAATACATAAAAATTGTATTTAGTAACCGTTGTATATAACATTCAGCCTCATACTTTTCCCGGTTATCTAAAATTGTCAGAAGGATTCCACATTCCCCAAACGATTACAACTTTTTTCAGCAAATTTCTCATAGAGGGAATAAGCTATTACCGCAGGTCTCATGGTAAGACCTAGACCTGGGACCGTTTTATTTTTGCATTTTAAGGTTTCCAGAGGCCAAAAACACTCTCCGTTCAAATTCATATATATATATATATATTTATATATAGAGATAATTCTATATATATTGAAGTCATATGCTGAAGTCACTCATTGCAAACACCATTTTACCATTTAGAAAAATTATAAAAACAATAACAATTAAATCAAAACAAATATTATAACTGGAGGAAAAAATATCTAATTTTGATGAAATTTAGTACAGACGTGAAAACCTACATTTATTCTAACAAGTTCGGGAACCAGCATTATCATACTATAGGAACGGAGGTTAATGGGGTAAAAATTGATTTTTCCCATTTTTGACCCTAAAAACACAAATTTTCATAATTTCTCTCCATACCATTTTGTAGAGCTTAATAAAAGAAATAATTTTGTATATTGAAGCGTTATTATTTATGCCCAACTGTTACAGAGATAATTAAGAAAGTTGTAAATTTAAAAATCCCATGTTATTCTTATGGGAATATCTTTTTAGGGAATATTTTAGTAGAAATCCAGCCAGGTAAATGGAAATTCGCTTAGTCTGCAGGTTTGCTGCGGCGAGGGTATTCTTTAAAATGTCATACACTGTCTAATCACTCTTCTTTTTTTGTTGTGTGTCAACATTAAATTAACATTCACAAGTAGCGGACATGACGTCTGAAGCGCACAAAGTAATATGAATAGGCTAACACAACAGAACTAGCCAAATAAACAAAGACGGATTTTCACATGACAAAAAGAATCAAAAACAGCTGACCTGCATACAAATTTTGAGTAATTGAGGTTCATCGGGAGAACTTCAACATATAAAGGAATGAGTTGTGCTTATTGAGGCATGTAACAGAGATACTATTAACACGTTCGCTGCGGCCCCCCAAATGGCGGGAGTAGCCCCGGTGCGGCACAGCGTCGAGCAGATCCGTTTGGCTTTCAAATATTTCGGTTTGACGAATAGCAAATGACATGTGGTGATGTTCTGTGTTACGAAGAGGGTCGACGTAGTTTGCTGAAACACCCACAGATAGCAGCACTGTCTGAAACCAGCCGGTCCCATTGTATTGCCAATTGGTGGGAGAAAGACGGGACAACAAGTTGATTTCTTAGCTTAACAGATCCCGTAACTTAAAACATCAATTATGACTGAAGAGGTATTTATTTCTATGTTGAATCAAACAAGTTAAATTGTAAGCCTACTTTAGCATTAATATAGTAAAACTGCATGAAAAAGGTAAAATGAGAATTTATGTATTTTTTTAGAAAAAAAAAAATAGTTATAAGGCATACGGCTTTTACAATTTATACTGTACAACATTCTACAATCTACAACTGGCTCTATTATCGTTGAAATTAAATATATAAACATTTTCATGATATATTTATGATTTTAAATATTTTTTAACTCTTAATAAATGTTAGGTATACTCTCCGTTTTGGTACTTTTACTTTAGGTAAATTATTCATCTGTTACAAGGAACAAGGAATATAGTTTAAATTTGCTCTAAGTTGTTTCAAGAAAATATGGAAATGGTTCGAAACAAATAAAAACACAATAGTCTTGAGAATTATAATTGTTTATACAATTGAAACAGTATTTATTATTAATAAGAAACAAAATGCAGTTAAATGTCATAAAACAGAACTAAATGCCTTAGAGTAGCTTTAAGTTAACAAAGATAGTCAAAGAAAATAAAACAACTTTTTAAGAGATTTTCCTTAGTATAAAGATTGCAACACATACAAAATTATATAAACTTCAAAAAAACAATTCAAATGCATGTGCTATACATTGCTAGCCATGTGTAAGGAATGTACAAGATGTTTTGTACTGAAATTTAAATCAGAAAATTATTCAAAAGCGGCAACTGGGGATGAGGTTTTAAACAAGAGTGCTTAATAACAACGTAAAAAAACTAGTCTGTTAAGATAAACATATTACAATATTTAAGTACAAACATAACAAAGGTTCATTAATTACAAACTTAAATAATTTATATTATATTCACATAATATATCACACACGTTAAGTTACACTTTACAACTTAAATTGTACTTTTTAACCAGCAAAAAACTCATCTACTTTTCAGTAATCTTATAAAACAGTAAGCAAAATAAGTCTTCTCAAAATAATTTTAAGGAAAGGCACTCTCGACTGGATTTTACAAAGGTTACATTGAAAGTTATCAAAATTCTAAGCTCAGTGATATATCTAATCGATGGCACTTAACATGAAAAAACTAAATTTTAAGCCTTCTAAAAACAAAAGATTTCTTGTTAATAAAAACCAATAATTCTTATATACAATTAGACATAAGTTGATTGTTACACACCTCCTTCAGAAAATCCATATTGGAGGCATGTAAAAACCAATTTATGTCAACTAAGCAATCATGTTGCTTAAAAATGAATTTCAATAATAATACATATAAAGTGAGCATTGGATGAGTTTTTATCGGAGGATTACTTGGCTCCGTTAGCGGCCGCCTCGTGTTTAGGAGAGTCGTCCTGAGGTGTTGTCAACCCGTTACTCTTAGATGGTGACGAAGGCTCGGTGTTTGACGCGGTCGTGTCCGGTGTTGATGGAATGTCCGAGCTGGTCGCAGGTTCCTTGTCTTTGGCGTTGCTCTCCCTGTGGCTTTTTCTTGTGCCTTTCCTTGGATTCCTCGGCTTTTTCTCCTCCTCCGGCTGAGTAACGTCGGGGTCGAAGTGGTCAGACAGTAGCTTCACAAGCTCCTTCCTTTGTTCTTCACTTGCTTCGCTCAACTTGCTAGTGACGGTTTCTTCAAATTTCTCCCTGCCCTGAAAAAAGAGAGGAAATATTAGCTCATTGTAGTTTTCATGAAGGAGATCGCTAATGAGACAGTCCCCAGAAGCCTACAATATATTTTCTCTTTTTCTGGTGTACCAATTCACAAGTTGAATATATTTTACAAACACTTACGCGTAGCTTTCTGGAGGATATCATGGATGGAATAGATTTTTTAATTCGCTTACAAACCAACCCATTTCCAACCACAAGCTTGAAACTCATTCACAGGTTCTTTTACACAATTCATGTTTACCTGAGTCCAGTACTTTGGGTGCAAGTTTAAATTACCCCCACATTACTTGAGAGCTATTTTTTAAATTCTGGTAACTTAGTTTTGGTGAATTTCCCTATAAGGAAGTAGCTAAAAAAACCATACCAAAACATGGTGTGTTTAACATTTAAAACATAATAGTCAACATGTATTAAGCAAAACTTGTATTTTAGTTTAATTTAATTTTTAATTTTAATTATTTATCAATTATTAATTTTAAAAATAATTTTAATTTTTTAAGCTTATTTTATGATTTATTTTATTTTGGGATAAGTTTAACTCTATCCTAACTGATATCATGTTTTCTAAATTGTAAGCATTTTTAATACGTTAGGTGTAGTTAATATACATTTTTTAGGCTGATGTAAAAAAAAATAATAATAATAATTTAGTACCTATCTATCAAAGTGTTTTGTACAATTATTGGTAACGGAGAAAATTAAAAATATTTTAAATTTAAAGTACCCATGTTATTATTATGGAGAATATTGTAAAATGTTTTAGTTTGCTTGTTTATGGATATATTTTACGGAGAGTAAATAAAAGAGACGTCTTATAACACTTAAAACATATATTTACTACCCTTATACTGTTACTCACAAGAAGGTAAATATACAAAAGATGGTAAGTGGTGATCGATTTCGACTGGACACTCCAATCATCATCAGACCCAATAGGCGAACGACAAGAATCTTGAATGGCGTCCCTACTTATACCCTATTGGCCCACTGAAGCACCGGCCAATAGATTTTTATAAGTACAACTGGATATATTTTGACCAAACTTGGCAAATTTATTTGTTTTAGACTAAGCTATTAAACTCTAATAAAAAACACACTTAATTAGTTTCCTTGTAGCAGCAAACCTAAGTAGGCCTACTCATTAAACCTAATGTTATTTAAATAGATTTAATTGAAAATCAATTCAAACAAATTGAAATTCGCTTAGTTGGCAGTTTTGCTGCAGTGGGGGTAGGCCTATTTATTATGTTAAACTAGTCAATAACAAAATTATCTTATTCTTGTAACGTCTTGTCGACTCAAATGTCAACGAACCGTCCTGATAGCACCGTCCCAAACAATTCTAACATAATACTTGTAATTTGAACTAGGGATGTTTTGATTTTCAATAACATAGATACTTGGAAAATGGTTTAGATGTAGAGAATTGATCATCAATAGTCAATGCCAATCTGTTGCACATGAAGATCTATTGTAAAATTACTGCTTTGGCTGCGGTTCTGGATGACGACGGTGATGTCTACATGACCACAAGATATGATCAGAATTTTGCCACAATCATGAAAGACAATTAATTACAATGTCCACACTATCGCAGTTGATATCTACATGATTTTTCCGCGATCCCGGAAGACGATGTTTCCGTTACCACAAGGGATATTCAGGATTTTGCCATGACCACAGGAGACGATGATGTTGTCTACAAGATCGTGTGAGATTACAAGAAAATTGCCGCAATCGTCAAAGACGAGGATAATGTTTAACGATTGCAGGACATGTTCATGATTTTGGCGTAATCGCAGAAGATAATGATCATGGCTATAAGATTGGGGCAGCATCAGAATTTTGCTACAATGAAGATGTCTCCACGACTGTGGTAGATGACCACACTATTACCTCGAGGTCAGCTTAGAAAATCTAAGGTGGCACACCTCTAGTTAAAATTAAAACGTCCTTATGATCATTTGTGTTAGATTTTAATTTATCTTTGATTTTGTTTTTGTGTTTAGAAGAGTTTAAATTGGAATTGGCTAGTTAGAATTTTTCATTGCCTCATTAATTTGATCATTACTTGAAAAACACCCTATTTGCCAAAAGATTTTTTAAGGAGGAAGGACATAAAGACAGGGGTTGTTGTAGTACTGTATAACCAATCCATACAAAAAGTTTGGTAAAGTTTAAAAAAAGATATCTGTCTCGAGAAACATCACTTCATGTAGGCCTACAACTCCGCTTCTGTGTTACAATTTGGTATGTGTACAGCAGATTGGAAAACACTGACATAGAGGAACCACAAAATGCAATTGAAACAAAATAAACAACTCCCCAATTCATTGAAATCTTTAATCAATTTTCAAAGGTAATATGTTTTCATTAGTCTTACCTCAGCCCACAGAGCCATGAGAGTGTCATAGTCCAGCAGTGCGCCAGTCAGCAGTCTCCTCAGTGCAGAGGCACTCTTGCGTTCCTGTATGCCTTTGCGCATTATTGGCGCAAATACTGGTCTTAGTGTGTTCTGTCTCTGTAGTACGACCTGCACAAGGTGAAAAGTGGTTCAAGTATGTGACGTGATGTTTTAATACAATAAGATTACTTAGTTTCATAACAAAAACAATTGTATAACCAAGTCGATAAGGAGTTTGCCTGGTAATTAGGTTGCTGGTTCAAAAATAAAGTCGGTAGGCCTAGCTTTTTGATGGTTTGAGCCTTAATCATAGGCCATTCATTTTGTTATGTTGCCTGTTTTAACTGACCTTTTGAGTTGTCCGACCTAGGTCCGGTCCCATTAGGGTCAGTTGTAGGGGATACTGTAAAGAGTTTAGTTTTAAATACAAGTAATTTACATTGGTAAAATACCAGTGCCAATACTTATTGAGATTTTGTCACAAATCAACTGTTCTTTTAAAATACAACAATCACATTATTTTGAAAAAGAGTTAGGCTACAGTAAACTGCCAACTAGAATTCAATATTTTGATAGTAACAGTACATTTAAAAGCAAGTTTATCCTCTGTAACTGGATTAGGAGTACTATCATATTAATTCACACCAGCTGGGCTGGAACCAAAAGAAAGGTTTTGTGATAATGTTTAGCCAGACCTACCTTCATGTCCTCAATGACCTGCAGCTCCTCGTCTATGGTGCTTGTGTGTTCCCTGATGGCCTCCACCATGATCTTAAGTCCAGCTGCATCCTCCTCTCCTGCGCTCTCTCCGGCCGTCAGGTGTTGTACGATCTACCACGCAAACAGTTCAAACATTTGGGATACACAACTAACTCACCTAAGTACCACTTAGTTGAATGCAAAGAAAGTTCAAGACAATAATAAATAAGTCTTGGCAGGCCTGTAGTTTGCTATGGGCGCGACAGCGAACACATAACAAAATAGAAGCGCTACTCGGAGCGCAAGAGCGTGGCAGTCTTAGAAGCCGGCAAAACGCACAAAGATGGCGGCGCTAGCCTAGTCCCGGCGTGTGCAGCGCGCTAGTCGTCTGCTATGAAAATATTAGTGTAAAGGAAAACAATGTAATTGAGGACTTGACAAACAAAGTACTTGGACAATGTGTAGGAGTAAATTTGTTTCCAAATAGTACACATTTCTCAGAATATGAAACAATATGGACAAAATTATTTTTGTTTAGTACTTAATTAAAATTATTGCTCAAAAATATTTCAATGTTAGAGTTTGCTACTACTGTAAAATAAGTAACGAAAGTCTTCACAAAATAGTCAACATCTCAATAAAACTGTAATTTTTCTGGGACAATAAATAGAGTGTAATTTTACAAATATTTAAGAAGTTTAATTTACTTTACAGAATTATCTTTAGTTTATCTTGGATGATATTGAAAGCTAATTAGTCCTTAAAAAGTTGTGCTAAACGGTTAAAAATTCTTCATAGACAAAGTATATATTTGAAAATTTCTTTAATATATACAATATTACAGTACAACACTATAAATAAAACATTAAAACACTGCACGCTAAAAATGTATAAACGAAGGCGGGGCAGCGGCAATGGACCCCTTTTGATTTTTTTAGAAAACCGAACATGATAAAAAATTTTGGTGAATCGGATGGTTAAATTTGGTTATTTAACAACTTTCACGCTGACAAAATTTCTCTGACAAAAAAATAAAAAATTTCCTCGCAATACAACTTTTTCATGTCTGAATCTGAAAAATTAAACTACACAAGTGTTAAACTACAGTACTCAATTACTATCATAACTAATTATTTAATATTAACACCATCGTTTTCCTCAGTATCATATCTACAAGTAAGCAAAAATTCAGAATTTTTTTCAACTATTAATGTTGTTTGTGATCGTGTATTGTCGCGGGGTTTAATGCGCACTGTGCTCACGGGCCTTGGATTCAGGCTGTAGGACGGACCAAGATGGCGGTTTTGGCCACACTTTCACTGCTTTTGGTTAAACGCCGTGTCCTCTCTATTTTATTATGTGCTCGTTGGGGCGCGATAGATATTGGCACCCCTCTCCCACACAAGGGATTTTTTTCCTTCTGCCCACGACAATGCTAAAACCTCTTGCACCCCTGGGCCCAGGCCCATTTACTATTTAAAGTGGGGTGGGTCTAAAACATGCCAACACATCACTTTAAAATCACTTAAAATTAAACTGTGTGCTTGATTCAAGATTTTTATTTGTAGTTAGGTATATGTTACCGCCCAAAACTCTTTTCTTGGATTAAAGTTAATTGTGTAACCAGGGGGAATGATTAGTGAATGTCCTAGTTATAATAACTGATAATCACAATCACCAAAATCAAAATTTTGTCCACTAATTAGCCACTAATTGTCTTATTGTGTAAAATTGTCTTTTTTTTAGCCCGTAGTTTATGTCTATTTACAGTTCCGAGCACAATAAAACTTTATAGGCTTTATCCTTTGTACTTGGTTAAATCAGTATTTTTATTTATTCTCTTTTCAAAGTAAATTATGTTGGTTCTATTTTTTTTAGTTTACTGTTTGATGTTAAAATTTATTTTTCATCATACAACTATCATAAATACTTGTGCAGCGGAGTCAAAATATAAATTATATTGACTTGCAAACTAGGGATGGACGAGATTGGATTTTTAGTTCGAGACGAGACGAGACAAGATTTTTTATTTCTCATAAAATTTCGAGATGAGATCGAGACGGGATTTTCCTTCTCATACACAACGGGAAATACACGTTCAAAATTTTTACCTGATTTTGTAACATTGTTAGATGACTGTTTAAATACAAAAATAATGATAATAGGCAAGAATATTTACAATATTTTATTAAAAAACATCAGCATAACATTTTTTTATTAATCACGCCTAACTTATTAAAAATGCCTACGATTAGAAAACATAGTGATATCAGTTAGGATAGAGTTCAACTTATCCTAAAATAAAATAAAAGCAATATTAATTTTTATAAAATAGTTACTTGTTTTGACTTTTTATAGTAATAAAACATTCCTCACACTGCTTACACTTAACAAAACTTCTCAAATGTTATTAAAGTAATATTATTTAAATAATTAAAGTAATATTTACATTTAAAGAATTAATTAAATAAGAACGCCTTCGCAAAGGAAACGCAACTACAACACGCTCCTGTATTGCGGGTATTGCATTGACTTTCTGCAGGCGTTTTTAAATTTAAATTTTTTTTTTTTATTCTCGTCTTGATAAAAATCTCGGCCAAAAAGAAATCTCGTCTCGTGTAACAAGATTTAAAATTTCCCGAAAATTTCCCGAAATTTCGAGACTTGACCATCCCTATTGCAAACCATTACACTGACCATTATTGGTTAATACAGCAGCTGCAAGAGACAACTCTACCAATGTTATCACGCAGAAACCCTCCTCACTATACGAATGACCATGCTCATGATGCACAATTTATTTGTTTCACATAGAGCTAATAACTAAATGGTAATGTCGAAAATGGAAATTTTACAAAACAACGGTTAGGCCCCTACCTACAAACTTATATTTAGTGCTGAATTTAAGATAAATTTACCTCGTAAGCTAACTTTGCCCTTTCTAACGCTGTGGAGGTCTCATCATCTCTGTCTAGCAGAACTTTGGACACAACCTTGAGAGAAAAAGAATTGAGAGTCGCTTCGCACTTTTGTTTGACAAAAGCGTAGCAATCACCAAAACCTTTGACTACTTCTCTGAACCTGTCCAGTAGTTGATATCTGTAACAAAAAATTGTATTGTAGGGAAGAGTTGGTTGCAATACTAAGCATTGGAGTTGGTTGTCATCAAGGTGTTTCCGTGATCTGAACTTTGGTCTGAACTTAGGATTAGAAATTCATTAACTTAGCTTTTAATTTTCCAACAAGGATTTAAGATAATGAGTTGTAAGTTAAGCTAAGGTTACTTGACCAAACACTTGATCAAGTTGTTTATCAGGTTATTATTTTGTTTCTTACTTTTTCAGGGCTTCCAACAGAAGAGAAGGGGCAAGTTTGTAGGTCTCGTAGTTCAGTAGAATGATGCCCGGGCCACCTTCAGCTTTGGTTTTTTCTAACCATTGTAAAAAATCAACCAAAGCAGAAATTTCACTCTTCGTTTTCAAAAACTGAAATAAAATTGAACCATTAGTAAATACATCAAGTTCATGTCAAAACAGTAAGACATTTCATATTCTTCTGAATCATGCATTCAACAACTTGAATGCATGTAAGGATAAACCGTCATACCCTCTCAAGCCGAGATAATTATCATTCGTCAGAACAAAGGAAGAATATACAGCAGGCGAGGATTAAACCCTTAAAACCACCTTTACTGTAGGCTATCCTTAAAAAGACCCCAATTCAAAAATACAATTAAAACCATATTTCAAAAGTGAATAACACAGTTAGAATTTCTAGAAGATATTTTCTTGAATATTTGATCTTGACTTTACAGCTAGAGTAAAAAGATATTGGTTTAGATGGTATCATAAGAAAAAGGAGGTAAGTTATCCAAGGAATTATACATACTTATATTACCTAGGCTAAATTGTTTTATGTGTTGTTACCGTAGATGAATTTTTATTCACATTCAGTATGTTTTATAAATGAGCTTAGCTAAAAATAATCAAGCCAAGTGTTGATTTAAGATTTTCCAGGAGCTGGTCTGAGCTTTAGAAAGAGTTTTCCCATGGATGCAGCATCTTTGACAATTTTCAGATAAAAAACTTTTGCCTTACAGCATACCGGTAAGCAAAATCCTTAAAATAAGCCTACCTTTCCAGTCTTAAGATCCTTCAGCATACGATATCTGCCCACTGTCACTGTTCTAACTTGGTGCCTTCTCTTTGAGATCAAGTCTAGATCTCTGTAGGGCATTACGTACTGTGAGAACTTGCTGTCCGGAGTGTAACCGGCGACATGACAGAACTCGTCTATCAGCCTGCGTCCGGTTGTGTCCAAGTCCCAGGCTACAATCTTGTACTCTCCGGCTGGTAAACCTGCCTTTTTGGCAACATCAGTGGATACCATGGCTAAGGTTATAGAAAACTACAACCTGCAACATAAATTTAGTTAAGTTAATATATAAATATGTATTAAAATCAATTTAATATAGACTTTTATATGAAGTAGCCTAGTAACTTACAGTTCTTCGTACAACTTTCTTTGCCGATGTCTCTCAGACGTCAGCAATATTTCTCTCTCTGTCACACCTCCATCTAAGTTAGGTACTGTGTATTTCTCTCTGTCACACCTCTACCCACGGTATCGGACACATTTGCCTCGCCCAAAACAATTCAGTTGAATGATGGATTGATGGAATTGGAAGATGGATTGAACATAGGCTACTAGTTCAACCCACACTGGTGTGGAGTTGAAGTTAGGCCCTACCACAATAAAAAATATTATTTCCTCATTATTTGACCCATTAGATATAGGCTAATACTTTTTCCTCTTATGGTAGACAAAGACAAACAACTAAGACATTTCCCCTAAAAATGATTTTAATTTAAGTTAGCCTAGCTGAAATGTGATAATTGAAAAATTAACTTAAAAACTTATTGAAATTACGCAGGCAAAGTAAGGGCCACATAGCCTTCTTACACTTAATCTTTAACCTTTTTGTAGGTACATAAAAAAGGTGAAGCAAAAGGTTAGCAACTTAACTTTGTGTTCACTTAAAGCATTTATATTATTGCATAATGATTGTATAGGTATATTGACAATTGTATTTTTTTTTTTTTTTGACGATGCCCATTGCATTTTGTACAATGCTTAAAGAAAATACTTAAAATACTAAAAAAAAATAAATTTCATTTCATTATAAGCTCATCTTATCTCCAAAATTTTGATGCCAATATGTGACATGCAGTTTACAGCGCTTAAGTTAACTTAGTAAGTTAGGACTTATTTCACTTAAGATAATGGACTCCAGCACTCAAAGTTAGGCCTACCTAGCCTAGAACTTAAGGAAAATTTTTCAAGATGCTGAAACTTGCAGTGTTTTTTGGGCAATTTCACGCAACGGTTAAGTTGGTGTAAGTTAAGTTAACTTACAGCAGTTTTCCTAGCCACCTGATTCGGCAGAGGCTAGTCCCTCAAAAGTGCAGGCATAAAAACACTCACAGGACATTTAAGTTGTACTTAAGTTTTAACTTACGCTGCCTTCTTTGGGTAAACTTAGGAGGTCAAACTATAAGTTAGAAAACCTTTTTTAAGGTCATGAAAATAGTACACCACCAAATTATAACTTAAATTAGGTCAGGTCTGGCTAGTAACGTAACAAGATTGCCTAAGTTTAGCTAGGCTATATTTTCTAGCATATCTTAGCAGGGCTTAGGCCTACGTTAGTAAGTTAGACACTACCGGTAGTGGTGGGAATCACCAAAAGAAAATCACCGACGAATCAATCGGTTTTGATGCTAAGCAGACTAATTCGGTGTTGAATCAGTCTTACCGAGCGATTCGGTGATTGACCCCCTATCTGGCGCTGGTCAACGTGAGTTCTCAGTGGCGCTGGTCTATTATAGACCAAGAGGACATGGGTCGGGTTTTTCTATTATTAAAATATGAAAGCCGTTTTAAAACACAAAAAATCTTATACCATTAGAAAGATGAGATTCTGAGGATTCATTTTCATGCATAAAACATTATTGAGTGAGTATTATGTAACGAGAAACATAAGTTAGTTTGAAAAACTAGAGAGTTCAAAATAGATTTTGGCGGTGGAAAGTTTTGGTCACCTGACTACAAAAACAGCTGTTTTTGGTGATTGTCAATTAAATTGTATACAATACTAGCTGTGTACCCGTTCTACGCACGGGGATCTTATAATATTCAGTTGAAACCTTCTTATATAACGAACAGCAGTTGGTTTGCATATTTTAAGATATGCTGGCCAAACTATTATACATAGCTTCATTTTATGTTGTTTTTTGTTGTTCCGGATCGGTATGACAATCAATAAAAGGTTAAATTACCTCTGTGTCTGCCGGTCGATCCTATAACGGTAGGCTTACTTTTATTTTTACTATCTGATCTCGTTTGCATGGCTCAATCACGTCCTGGTTGAAGTTCGTTCGCTACGCTCACTCACCTGTATGTTGGAGCTCGTTCGCTGCGCTCACTTTCCTTCAGGTTAGCTCGTTCGCTACGCTCACTTGCCTTCAGGTTAGCTCGTTCGCTACGCTCACTCGCCTCCAGGTTGCAAATTAGCTGTTGTCATAAATGTAAAAGAAATAATAGTGCTAGTGCTGCACCCTGTTGGTAATCCTTGTAACTTTAATGCTATTGAACATCACAGAACAGAACCAACTTGTTTAATTGAAACAGCTGTTAAGATTCAATAATTTCATTTCTCATAAGGTTAACATGGGCTTCCAGAAATTCCACGTCAAAAATCGACAAAAACTTGATTTTCAAGGGTTTACTGTTAAATATCTAACTGTCTCATATTCGATGAAATACGTCTAAAACCATCTCATATATGTATAGTATTTGGAAAATAAGTTTCAGGCGGGACAGTGCTATAGTTATTGAGGAGTAGTTGTAATAAAGTGCGTATTTTAGCGTTACCAAGAGAATGACAGATAGACAGACAGACAGACAGACAGACAGACAGACAGAAATTGAGATAAGGTTTGATTCGGTTTCTCTGACCTATGAAATGTAAAAATAACCAAAAAGTTCATTATTCTAAGCAATGTACAGACAAAACTCTAATTTTATTTATATAGATTAGTACATATTCTGAAACTAAAATAAATTCCCTACAATTCCCTCTGAATCTATAAGGTTGATTGAACAAATTTTATTTGTTTTTAAAAATGTCATAAAAACTATGTTTTTGTAAAAAAATCTTCAAAATTTTACATTCCAACGTAAATTTCTCTGAAATTTTAGAATTCAACTAAATATAACTATATATTTTCAAAAAGATCTTTTATTGCCTATTGTAGGCCTACAGTATCATTTTATTTTTTGTTGATGAATTCTATTATTTCCTACGTGACCAAAAGAAATTTGGTAGTTTTTCAAAAAAGAAAATATGTATGTAGAATTTATTTTTTTTATAATTTTATTTTTTTAAAGTAAAAAAGTATTTAAAAAGTATTGGTATTTCTACGTAGGGAACCATATTTCACACAACCTTTACATTTAGATAAAATGTGTAAACAAATTATTTTGTAGTTTTCTTGTGGGTTGCTTTTGAAATTTCTAATTTGCATAATCCAAAAATTTGCAAACCTTTTGCTACTACGCCTAAATACATTGCTAAGAAAAAAATATTTGTATACTATTATATTCTAAATTTATCACTAAAACAGAAAATATATATATGTGTGTACTTATATTCACAAATAAATGTTCTGTGGCAAAATATATGATACCACTACAAGAGCGCCAAAATATACCTGCCACTGGTGAATAAAATGACCGCCAGATCTAGGGTTAACAAAAAGTCTGTCAGTTAGGGTAGGCCTAAATGAATTTAGGCCTAACTTACCCCCCAGCCTATTTTACGATTTTTTATTTTTACCTTTTTGATGTTGGTTATTAGTTAAGTACCGTACTTAAAACTTAGGCCTACCTAACTTATTAATTACAAAAATCACCGATTGACGCTAACTGACTAAAATTCTAAGATATTCAGTTTCTCAAGAGCTTACTCGTGGTTTGGGACAGTGAATAATGACTAAAATTGATTCAGTGATTCATCCAACTAAGTTAAATATAATCGATTGGCGCTAAAAATAACTGATCTATTATTCGGTAATGGAATCTATTCGGTTATCCCATCACTAGCTTATAAGACACCCATCTTAAGTTAAGAATGTATACAACTTAACTTACTGTAGGCCTATATCTTAGCCTGTAAGTAAAACTAAGTTATCAAAGAAAATCAGAAAATTTTGAAAAATTGAAAAAATCAAAGCAGAAGCAATGAAGCCTTAATTCCTAGCATCTAGGCCTAAACGAGCTAATCCCAGTAAGTATTAGCCCATTTACTTTTAACAAAATATGACATCGCAGGGTGTCCACAGAAATTTTGTCATCAATTTCCATGACTTTCCATGACTATCCATGACCATTAGACATCGATTTCCATGACTCACGAACTTTACTCAAAAATTATAATATAACGTACACCGTACACACACGAATAATACTGCCTGGACAATTTATGTCACAGAAAATACTGAAATATGTAGGCCTAGGCTATTAACAGATAACAATTGTGTACAATAGGTACAACAATGAACTAATACAAACTCAAAACCCATAAACTAATACAACTGTATAAACTGAATTGTCGTAGCCTACATTTGTGAAAAATTCGGAAAATGCTACAATAGTCAGGATTACGGGCGACTAGAGCATTGAAAGGTCCCATGAAATCCATCCATCATTGGTGATTCCCATGACTTTCCATGACCTTTTGCCTATTTCCATGACTTTCAATGACCAGAATTTTTTTCCATTACTAGGCTATCCCTGACTATCCAGAATGTGGACACCCTGCATCGGCATCTCTGCTTTTAAGTTAAGTTACCTTCAGTCAATAGGTTATTATCAGATAAGTTAGGTTAAGTTTACCTACACAATTGTCGACAAACCGTTTCTCAAAACAAGTAGGCCTATTCCAGTATACCAGCGAATGGCCTATATTTTAGACTTGAGTAGGCCTAGGACCAAGGGCCTGGGCTCTGACAGCCTACTTCAAGGTTGCTAAGTTAAATGAAATTTGATAAGTTATTATTAATGAATTTATTTTTAAAAAATTGGATGGTTCGCTAAACACAAAAATTATTATTCATCATGATAACAGGTAAAAATCATGAATATTCTTGTTAGCCTGGGAATAACCCATTTTGGATAGGCCTAGGTAGGCTACAGCAAAGCCTTCACAAGGTTTTAGATCCAAACAAAATATGCTTAGCTTATTAAAGATTGTTACTAGAAACTAGTGAGATCTCTCACCTACAGTAGATAGTAATAGGATGAAATCTAATTTCTTGATAGTAAAAGTAACTTTTAAAAGTTATAGTTTACGAAGCACGTGGAAAAAGAACCTCAAAACTCAAAAAGTCGGAGGAGCAGTGCGAATGCGATGCGAGTGCGAGTTTCCAATTCTATTCAATAATAATAGGATTGAAGTTGGATAACTTGATTAGCAGGCAGGCAGACTGAAAGAGATGCAATACAAATACAAAATAATCCGCCAGGCACCAACGATTCTTTTCCCGGACTTTTTCTAGTTATGCTAAGAATTATACTATGTAAAAAATAACATTCGTTGGAGCAAAAGTGGATTGGAAATGCGCAATCATTAATAATTAATATATAGATTTTAAAAGTTGGCGATACTGACTTCATTGTTCATAGATGTGATAGGTCTGCTGCTACAAGTCACAAAAGTTCTGGTGGAGGAACCCTACTTGCAGTTCGTAAGAAGCTTATGTCTAAGCGACTATACTCTGGATTCAACATTGAAAGTGTCTTTGCCCTTGTGAAATTGGGACCTGGTTTTGATCTTCTTCTGGCTTGTGTCTACATTCCTCCTTCAAGTCCTCTTTCTGTTTACCGTGAATTCTGTGATGCGGTTACTGAGACAGTCGAATTGGCAAATTTCCCAAAGAAGACACTCATTTTTGGAGACTTCAACTTGCCTCACTTCGATGTCAACTTACCTGTATCTGGCCTTCCTCAACATTGCTGCGAATACCTCCGTGACATGTCTTCTCTGCACTCTCTCTTCCAGATAAATCATGTTCAAAACCATAGAGGAGTAACATTGGACTTGGTCTTCTATTCTGATAGTGAAGTGCAAGTTATCAGGGCCAACGATTGGTTGATTAAACCTGAAATTCATCACCCTCCTCTGTCCCTTACTCTTGAGTGCTATATGCCTTCTACTTGTGACAACAGCTACAGCGGCTACAACTTGGGGAAATGTGACCTCCCCGCTGCTTTTATAGCCCTTCAGGAAGCAGATATGGGATTTGTTCACCAGCCGATCTCAACTGATGAAAAGTTTGATCTTTTGGAAAGTTCCTTAGAGAAAATCGTCAAAAATGCAAGTCCGATGAAGAAATTTGGTATCTCACGCTTCCCTAGGTGGTTTAATGATGACCTAAAAAAATGCATTATTGAAAAGAAAGCTGCGCATGCACGTTTCAAGAGAAGTTTCAATCTTGTCCATTATTATGAATTCTCAAGGCTGAGAGATAATTGTAGGTCGCTGTCTCGTGAATGCCACATTCGATATTTATCCAATGTTCAATCAAACATATCTTCTAATCCACGAGCTTTCTGGGGACTAGTTAAGGCTCAAAGAAATACTCCTGACATGCCGTCTAGTCTGCATTTGGATGACGAAGTAGCCAGTGACACAACAAGCATATGTCAGCTGTTTTCCAGTTATTTCAACTCGGTCTACTCTCCATCGTCACGAGTTTCACCTAGCTCTAGCTATCCCGTCTTCGATTCTCTCTGTGTCATAACAACCTCAACTGAAGAAGTTCTCAGCAAGCTTAAGAATCTGGACACTACAAAGGGAGCTGGAATTGACAATATACCGCCATCTATGCTTCATCACTGCCGATCTCTCTTAGCTGAACCCCTCACAGTGTTGTTCAACGAATCACTTAACAAAGGAATCTTCCCTAGCTCTTTAAAGTCGGGCTTTATCATTCCTTTACATAAAGCAAATGATCCCAGCGACATACGGAACTACCGTCCAATCACTATTCTGCCGGCAATTGGCAAAGTCTTTGAAAGTATCGTGGTAGATAGACTGAATCCTTTTCTATCCAAAATAATCCATCCTTCCCAACATGGCTTTATGAAAGGCAAGTCTACTGTCTCCAATCTCCTGCTCTTTCAAGAATATGTCTTGTCTGCCTTTCGCAAGAACTACCAAGTTGATGCAGCCTACATTGATATGGCAAAAGCCTTCGACAAGGTCGACCATACAATTCTTGTGTCTAAGTTGCTGGGCTACGGAGTGGCTGAACCTCTTTTGTCATGGATTTCTAGTTATCTTCAAAAACGTTCTCTTTGTCGTGAGGATTGGTTCTACCACTTCCACTCAGTTCTCACCTTCTTCAGGAGTTCCACAAGGTTCTTTGCTGGGACCTTTGCCTCTTCAATGTTTTTGTCAATGACCTACTAGACAATTTAACTGTAAAGGCCTTACAATTTGCTGACGACCTGAAGATTTTCACTACTGTGTCTACACCAGAAGACTCTCAAGAAATTCAAAATAGCCTTTCTGAAATTGAGGATTGGTGTGTCAGGAATAACATGTCTGTAAATCCCAGTAAGTGCTCTTGTATAACCTATCACCGCATCAAATCCCCAGTCATGTACGTATACTCCATTTCTGGTACATCCATTCCACGGTCCCAGTGTATAAAAGACCTAGGCGTTATTTTTTCCAGCGACATGGGATTTTCTGGGCATATAGATCACATCAGTAACAAAGCAAACAAGATGCTTGGTTTCATAGCAAGATTCTCCAGAGGCATCGACAACCCTTCTGCTCTTCGCTCTCTGTATTGTTCCCTTGTGAGACAGCTAGTGGAATATGCAAGTCCCGTGTGGTCGCCTTACACTGTTGGCAATAGGACGAGACTGGAGGCTCTACAAAGGCGTTTTCTTCGTTTGGTTGGTGTCCGGCTGGGTTTTGCCTATCTTGATGTGCCTGTGGAGGAACTGTCCAGCAATCTGAACTTGTCACCTCTTGCCCTGCGACGTGACGTGGCTGATGTTATTCTTCTCTGGAAGATAGTCAATGGTCACATGAACTGTCCAGATCTCCTAGCTGAAATCGACCTCAGAGTGCCTACAAACACAAGATCTCGAGATCTGCTGGGTCGAAGATACCACTCAACCAACTTCGACTTCAACAGTCCTTTCGCAAGGTTTACTCGCCTGGGAAATCGAGTTGCGTCTGGGTGTGACCTGTTTTTCGATGGACTTCAGCAGGTTCGTCGGCAGGCCTCCTCTCTTCTTCTTTCTGGGAAAGACTAGTAATTAATTTATTGTTGTTTGTTAACCTTTATTTTCTGTTGTTGCTATGTTAGAGTATTTATTGTTGTTTGTTAATCTTATTTTTTTGTTGTTGTTACGCTTTGGATATTTATAACCTGTTATATCTTTGTTAACTTATATTTATCATCAAATTTTGCTTACCTATTTTGTTGTATTCAACCATCATGTTTATCTTTGTAAATTGGCTGCTGCCGTTGGAAATAAAATAAAATAAAAATAAATAAATAAAAAAAAAACATTTCTTACTGACTACGCCTTTGATTTACAAACAGTTATTAAATGAGATAATCAAATACTTTATGGGGGAAACGGTCCAAACCCATATGCTTTGTAGTTTCGTAGGGATAGAGTGACCCGTCCCTGTCACACCAAGGACTAAGTAACGAATGCTTGTGACACGCTCCATTGCTCCAAATACGTAGAGTTAACCATTTACTGAAAGTCGATTGGTTGGAATTTTCTATGAAAGGAAATGGCTTTGCATTCACTTTGGGTTGGTAGGGTTCAAGGACATTAGGTTGTATTGTTATTGTTAATCACAATGTTAATGATTGTTGTTATTAATCACAATGACATTAGTTGTTGTTGTTAGTGGACCATTCAAGGACTGAGTCAATAGCTCTCTACTCGGTTTCAAGCATGAGCTTCACATTGTTGACAAATATTAGAGAGGTAACTTGCAAAATACTGGGATTGTCGTTCACGAAGATTCAATAACAAATTCAAGATTAGGCCTAAACTGAAAATATAATTCGAAGTGGAAAAATATTGTTGAAGTAAGTTATGGCTATATCATACCTTTAAATTTACTATAACCATCTATAACTAACTGATCTACTATCCAGACAAAACTGGGACGGGTGGCGTCATCCTGTAATCCAGCTACTATGATGCTACGAATTGTGGATATTTATAGTACGGCCGGAGTTAAAGGCGGCCGTGTTTATAGGCATGCACTGTGGATGCTGTACTCCCGGATTAATGTCCGCACGAGTGAGTACTACGACTATCTGCAGTACTATCCTGAAAATTAGATCAATTATTCATATATACCAAGGCAAAAATGTGGTTAGAATTCCACTATAAGATGTAGGCCCCTTAGTTGCCATTATCTGTATGGGCCTACAATTAAAAATACTGTACAAAAATACCATACATTAACAACTGTGAAGGTATAAGACGTCCTTAGTCACTAACATGATTACATTCTACAAGATCACGCCACTCATCCTACACTCATCTCCATTCATACTTGGCTTAAAATACCTACTCTGTATGGTCGCCATTTCATTGTAAAGTATTAATCTATAACACAGAATGTTAATCCATGGTAGGCCTACTACAAACTCCATTCTGGCTTATTTTGTCATTTTGTCGGGTCCCTCCCAGATATCTTCAACAGAAATTCCATATAACCATCAAATCATAATATAATCAAATAATAATATAATGTAATATAATCAAATCATATAATCATAGAATCCATATAATCAACATCTTATTGTAGTACTGTATTGCAAACAATTTTATAACGTAAAACCCTTTTATATGAAAACCTTTTGAGTTGGTTACACTGAGTTGTATAACTGTACAAAAAAATTCCAACAACATGTGTTTATCATTGTCACAAGCAATGAAGCAATTATATAAAATAAACAAACTTCTTTCTATCATAACTAACATAACCTCTTGCTTACAACTCTTTTTGAACGTCTAATCGATTATAAAATATTCTTAGCTTACAGTAAGTTGAACTAGAAGTGTAAACTTAAGTATTTGATTTGTACAGATTCAGAATCCCATAATGCTTCAACGATTGGTAAGTGACACTATGCTGAATAATATATCCTAAGTGAAATAATCATGTTTTAAATCTTGTTTAACCTAGGCCTATTTTTATGTTCCGATCTTACCAGTACTGTTTTCTCATTGACAAAACAATTAAATTTGTAGAAATTAAATTTTTTAGATCGTTCTAGAGTTTTTTGGTTTAATTTACTGATAACTTAATCAGTATCCCCATACCGCTTGTGTCAAATTCTATTGGTCTTCCCTTTTCGCTCTCCTCCCCCCCCTCACCATCACATAACTTACTATAGTGCTCACACTGTATTAGGTGCCTGTGCTCAATGTATTTTGTACAAGAGATGAATAAAGTAGTTTTTAATTGAATTGTGCGGTACAACTGCTGTCGTACAACAATAGCCGTTCGGGCTAAGATAGGCCTACTCATATATTTCCGGGTACTTTGGTATTATCCGGAGGCCACCCTTATACAGTGCACTGTGGCGATAATTTTAGGTTGGTTTATCATAAATGGTAAGTAAAAACGGACTTTTATTGAATTAATTTACTGTCCAAATTTGACATGATTTCAATTAGCAGCCTTTGAGTTCTACCTCCCAGAAGGCAGCGATGTCAGCGAGGATTGAATGCATTGCGCCGCTGCTAACTTACCACAACAGTTGCAGGCGTTGACAGGTGATGTGCGCGCTCCGGTCAACGACCTCGCCTTGGCCTACTTGTGGAGGGGATTTGGCGAGCGAAAGTATGACTCTTCTGGTATTGTTTGATTCATAATGAATTGAGGAAAGTTCTACAAACACATTTATGATAGTCCAACCTAACATAACCGCTGCAGCGTGCTGTATAAGGGTGGCCTCTGGATATTACCAAAGTACCTATTTCCGCCCCACCATTCCTGAGCTGAAAGCGCATGGTTGTTCCATAAGCATGTTTCATCAGCATATCTTTCTTCTCTGTGGTATTGGTGACTTGTAGCCTATTTTGATAATTCAGAAGCTTAAGTTACGCATCTTCAAAAACATATTTAGGCTATTATTATTGATAAGGTCTACTTTCTCTAACTTATTGTCAATCTCTTTTAATTTATTTTAGCGATCCTTAACTCCTGTGATAAAGCAATGCAGTCAAGGAAGTCTACACACATCGGTTATGAGCAGTTACGGACTGGTCCCGATTGTAGTGGAGCAAACAGGTAGAGGTGAACGAGCCTATGACATCTTCTCAAGATTGTTGAAGGACAGAATAATATGTGTAATGGGACCAGTAAGTATAAACGTAGACTAAGCAACACAAGTAGACCTCTCATCCCATTGTAAATCTTGAAGCCTCGTTGTTCACTAGTTCATGTTGGTGACTCTGAACTGCTGTCGATAAAATTTTGTTTCTATTATTTTAGGATTAATTTAATGATTTGTGCATTAAAGGCCTACTGTTAGGTTATATTACTAGGAGACGAGTTATTGTTTACAATGAAATAGGTAGTTTTATTTGGTTGAACAAGATTTTAAAGGACTGAAAACAGGAAACGAATTGTAAAAAAAACACGACCCATATACGGTGTACTAGACAGAACTAACAATAAAATTGGCTTTAGCTGTTCTGTAAAGCCCCCCATACACTATCGAACATGCCACCCGACCTGACAACCTGACCTGACGACGGACCCATCATCCAACCTGACTTATGTCGGGTGTTTCCCACACACTATTGAGCATGTTACCCAACAAGTCAGGTGAAATATTAGTTCTGAGATGGATTTTGAGACGACTGTTAGCTGTTTCAGGGGGATTTTTAGCGATGATTTTAGGGATTTTTAGAGCCTATGGAACTAGGGTCTTAAATTTTCAATTTTATTTTTAACGAACTTTAAATCACACTCTGGATACAGTTCCTTGCACTTTTCCATCAGGATATCGTGCCCCTATGTGCATGTTTGTTGCAATAGAGTTTACTTTTGACAGCCCACAACACCTTCTGGTCTCTATAGAGTTAAAAAATTCTGACCAGAACTGTTTATTATTATTAAATGACATTATGGAAAAATGGGACGGTTATCACGCACAACTCGCTAAATACAAGTTAACTGGAAACTGTGGCTATTCAGGCGAGCAGTTCGACGGTTTCCCACACATGGTCCAACATGTCAGGCGGACGGCTCGAGTCGGGTGGTGCTACCGGACCGAGCATCTGACCTGACATATCCGTCGAGCATGTCGGGTCGGAATTCACACACTGTCCAATATGTTCGACAAGACCTCGGATCCCGACATGTCCGTCCAACATGTTGGATAGTGTATGGGGGGCTTAAGGATGATGACAAGTTCTTGCAGTGACTAACACTTGAGGGTGGTTTGTGGAGTAGAACAGCTGTTAGTTGATTACATTACATGTAACATAAACAAAACCACACCCCGAGCATATGAAACCAAAAGCTTAAAACCTAAAAATGTACAACAATCCTTCTGGGGCTTAAGTAGCCAAATAGGTAGATTACTGTAATGCTCAGGTGTCATCCAGTTTTTAGTCTTCCAATATAATGAAATGAATTGATCCAAATGAGAAACAAACTGATAGGCTACCATGACTGAATTAGGATACATTATATCATAGGGCGAGGGGCTAAATAGACCAATAGTAGGCCTATTATTTTTTTTTTTTTTTTTTTTAGAAGCACTGTATCTAAGGAGTTTTATATTGTGTTGCTGGTGAATAAACAGAATCATTATTTATTTTCATTAGCATTTACAACCAACCGCACACTAAACTTGGCCAGATAGTTTGTCTAATACTACATAGACCTAATATAAGATTTAGTTTAATCTTGTATGTTTTCTTTAAGATTGACGACTCCTTATCTTCTTTGGTGGTTGCTCAACTGTTATTCCTACAGTCTGAAAGCAGCAAAAAACCAGTCCACATGTATATTAATAGGTAAGTTTTATCATACTATACCTGATGTGGGATAATATTCTTTGTAGGGTAGCGTCTAATATAAGTTGAATCCTATTGACAAAAATAACAGGTTAACTAACTAAGCTTCCATCAATCAATCGTATATTTGTCATGGTTGACTAGTTTCAGGATTAAAACCCGATTTTCAAATTCTTTTCTCGTCAATTGTCAAACATATCTTATTGCACTTGCCGTTGTCAAAATTACTTCACATATAAACACATAAAGAAACGTTCATATTTACAAAAAATATGTACAAACGCGCAAGGCCAGCCAAGGACAAAACCAGACTGCAGGGTTTGATATAAGTGTAGGTTAACCGATGCCTTCTAGATGGCGATGACCTTGGGGGAGGGTTATTAGCTGTTCATCTCCTCTAGTTTCGCCACTAGCCTATTTCAAATAATGTTTGAGCCAAAATTTTATTTCTAATTCAAAACATCAGGACAATTGTAGTAAGGTAATTTGTACACACCAGATGTTTCAAGGCTGTTACTATTATCAGGAGGAGATGTGTTCAATTGTTGTTCTAGTCAAATCCAACACTCGGAGTTTCAATCCAATTGGGAAATCCAGGATTTTTTGTGAACTTTAATAAACAACTTTTTGATCAGCATTTTACGTGTTATTAATTTTGTCTGTTAACTCACAAGACAGTTAATAAACATAAAAGATGGTAAGTGGTGATCAATTTCGATTGGATACGTCAATCATTCGCCTATTGGGTCTGATGATGATTGGAGTATCCAATCAAAATCTATCACAATCTTTACTTTCCTTGAATTTTAGCGGGAAAAAGTCTGTTAACATTGTAATGTGAATATTGGCCTTGTGTATAATAACGTCATTCCGTTTGTTCTCTTTTTATGATTGCCATTTGAGAAACTTACTAGTGTTGACAGATGACATGATGACGGGATCACTGATACCAGTGTTCAAGAAATCGCAGGATATTTAATTACAATATTGTTGGATTTTTGCACAGACCGGTTCCTAATCGACTAGTGGCACCTACTGTGGCTTGTGTTTATTGTGTTTCTATGTGAGATGTTGTTGACAGCCCGGGTGGCAGCGTGACGGCAGGGCTCGGTATATACGACACAATGCAGTACATCCTACCACCCATAGCCACCTGGTGTGTCGGACAGGCGTGCAGTATGGCGAGTCTCCTGCTGGCAGCTGGCGCGCCTGGTATGCGCCACTCACTGCCCAACGCCAGAATCATGATACACCAGCCTTCAGGCGGCGCTCGGGTGGGTTGAAATAATATTCTGTTTAAATTTATAATGATAACTTATTGCCACTAGCTTTATACAACATATCAAGGTTTATATAGATGTATGAAAGATAAGTAACATAGATGGGTGTTTTGTATGCTTATTAGGTAGGTTTTTGTATTTGTTGGTATCTTTTAATAGTTTTCTCGTTTGAATGAATACAATAAGATCAATGCAATTAATGGATTGTTTAAATTACTAAGTTTTTCATGAAAGGTAAAGGACATTTATTGTTATCAATTTACCAACTTCAATCTCTGATTGTGGCTCAACCAAGACTCAAAGAAACTGATAACTAACAGTTAGGGGTATGCTTTATAATATTAAGGGAATTTGAAGATTTTTGCTCTCAAACTTTTTTAACCTTAAACTTAAGTCTCGGACTAATGAAATTTCAGCGACTGGAATCGATAGTCAGTAATATTATTTTGGTCCTCTGTCAATTGTGTTGTTAAGTATAAATATGAGAGCTGTTTGGAAAAGTAAGGCCATTCTTGTTCAGACGAGTGTGTCGGGTCAAAGCTGTCTGGACATGGTAGCGTGAAGGCTGAGTGTTAATTTATTTCAATTTGTTTCAAACTGGGACATCCAACAATTATCTTTTGATGCTCTAAAATTAGCAGTATTTCCTCTTATCTTGCAATGAAGCCTGTTTTCAGAAGACATTCAGTAATGCATTTCCAATAATCCTGCACCACCAAAGTCCTGAAAAAGCCAGATTGGCAAGTGTCAACTATCAACTGATTAAGTTGAAGAATAAAGTCAAGATCTAGTTTTGAAATGTAGGACTTTATTAGTTTTTTATATTTTTGCTGTTGATTTTCATTTAATTGACTTGAGGTTACTCTCCTCACGGCTTTTGTAAATCATTGGTATAATTTTAATTTAATGTCATGTTGTTAGCCTCTGGATCACTAGTATAGTAATAAGTAATGGTTTAAATACCTTATACCACAGAAAATGGACTACTATAACCCAGAATGCCAACCGCATGGTAAAAAGCATTAAGCGGTTTGAGAGAGCTTTGCCTGTCAATCCGTAGGCAGTGCCACCAGCGTTGCTATGCTATTGCGCTTAATGCTTTTTACCATGCGGTTGGCATTCTGGGTATAGTAGTACGTTTTCTGTGCTTATACTGTCAAAGTGATCCTTTGTAGTCCAAATATAGGCTACTGCAGTTTCATTCCCGATGATGGGAACTTCATCAGGCTGTCAAGGACATCAAATTTTGTTCTAGAGGAAGTCGTTGAGGTTAAAATCCATCGATGTCATACATTTAGCACACAAACAAAAAATGAATAATAAATACATATTACAAAAACGCCGGTACCAGGAAACACGATACGCACGGAGGGCAGGTCTAGACTTTATTATTAGTTTTTATCGTTTGAGTGCTAAATGTATGATATCGATGGATTTTAACCTCAACGACTTCCTCTGGAACGAAATTTGATGTCCTTGACAGTCTGATGAAGTTCCCATCATCGGGAACGAAACTGCAGTAGCCTATATTTGGACTACAAAGGATCACTTTGACAGTATAAGGTATTTAAACCATTATTTATTAATTTTATGGATATTAAAAAAATAATCAGATGTTGTAATGTAATGTTTACCAATTAAAACAGAGGTTCTGATTCTGATAATTTTTTGCAGGGTCAAGCAACAGACATAGCTATTCAGGCTGAAGAAATAATAAATCTGAAGAAGCAAATAAACAACCTGTATGTAAAACACACGGGACTAGCTCTTGAAAAAATTGGTGAGTTGTACAAATGTTATCACACTAACCATTCAAGTGTAGTGACTGCCCGGCATTTGGATAGTGAAATTATAGTATTGGGAGCTATTGCTCTTTGAGGTAAATTAATTTTGTTCATAAAACCAGCAGGAGTTTTCAAGCACTATTTTCCTACAAACACTTAATGTCTCATGACTTTTATTAAAAACTAGCTGAACGAATGAATGAGATTTTTTTTATTTGTCAGTTAATATTCCATACAAATGCATTGCCACAAAAAATTATTCATAACATAATATGAATTAAAATCCAGTGGAGTCAGTGTCCTTGGACATATAATCCTCTATTGAGTATAATGGCTGATTACAAAGAAAGTTATTTATTTTGATCTTGAAATCCTTATCACTAAGTAATCTTATTGCTAGTGGTAAGTTGTTATAAAATTTACTGCTTAAAATTAATGGTCTTTTATCAGTAGCGAGTCTAACATAAGCAAGATTTATATTACATCTATGACGAGAGGCAAACTTACAAAAGGTAAACAATAACGAATTATTTGTTGAATTAAGTGATCTTAAATAATATTGATGTTTTCATTTGTGTTTTCTTCAGAGGCAAACATGGAAAGAGACAAATTCATGTCTCCAAGTGTTGCTAAGGAGTTTGGTCTGATCGATGAAATTCTTGATCATCCGCCCAAGTATGGAAATCAAGAGAATCAAGTGGGACAAGCTAGTTTGTCCAAAAGTTAAGAATATTTTATTACAATAAATGTTTGTTTTCATAAATGATTGTTTTTTTCTCAACCAAGGCCAGCTAATTTAAGAAAAAAACCGTTCATAATGTATTGTATCACACACTGTAATTACTATTCAATTGTGAGGAGGAAAAATTTTTTCACATTAACTTAAGTTTGAGCAAGTAGTTCAAAAAATTCACAAGGCAAACAAGTACAAGAAAAAAATATGTAAACGTTAACAGATTTGTATGTGTTTTGAGTGTTGTAGGTGAGTCGGTGGCTCAGTTGGTAGCGTCACGGACTTCGGGCCCAAGGCAGCGATAACGTGGGTTCTGATCCTGATGGTTACTGCCACTAAAATTTATCAGTACAGTTCACCTTCGTACTGTACCGGCTTACCCCTTGCTTTGCTGGATACGTTCCACGCACAGATCTGTAGTCTATGTGGACGGGCAAATGCAAGGTTAAAAGAAGTTGCCAACCTCTTTTTTTTAATAAATAAAATAAAAACTTTGGTACAGTAACCTTCAGTGGTTCGACACTTGATAGTTCGACACTCCTTGTAGTTCGACACGGGCTGAGGCTACCCGTCTAACCTCTAAACATTAGGGATCAATATTTTGTTGACACGTATGCCGGTCAATGACCGGGACCAGTTCTTTCCAGTTATCAGAGTGAAAAATAATCGAAGATACAAGATATTTTGTCAAGCAATATTTAATGGTTACTATTGTAAAGTAAGTTAACTTGAACATAAAGTTGTAATTTATTGTTGACTTGATTTGGGTGATTTCTATATAAAACTTGTATTTTTACTTTCCTGTATATTAAACTCCATTTACTCCCTATATTTCGATAGTTCGACACCCGTTTAGTCCACAAAGATTCCACAAATAAACCACTAAATTGAATTTTTGTATGAATGTTATATTATAAAAAACTCTCTTTAGTATGAGTTCGGTTTAGCGAGAGTAAGCCGGCTTACTCAGGCCGGCTTAGGACAGTACTCTAATACGTGTCTTGCGTACAAGTAAATTTGTCCACGACTACAGTCTCTCCCTCATTGAGTGTGAAACTAGAGGCTCGACATTAGACATCATCATCCCTGTGTAATTATGGCATCATGTTTAGCAGAAATGGTGTGCATGCAATGTCACAATCACCACCAGCGGGAGCTTAGTATTAATGGTTCAGAAGAATGCATTATTTTTGTTCATGACGACTGACACAACTGTCGACAAAGTGGGTTCTCCTTTGAAAAGTAAAAAAAGCTAAAAGTATTTACTATTTATCTATTTAATTTGAATTAGTCACGAGGCCTGGTGATATGTGTCAATCTAGGCTCCTATCCAGAAGTGTCATAAACTCATAAAATTGTATAGGTTCTAGAAGTAAATGTTGCCTGTAAAAAAGGTATTCATAAACCTGACATTAGTCTATATATTTTTTCAGAACTACAGGCCAACAGTGATTCAATCAACTTTGTATAAAATGTTTGAGAATTTTAACTTCCCCGACATGCTTCTAGTAATTTTTATTAGCTGGACTTTCCATTGAAAAATGTCTTACAAGGGAACCTGCTTGTTAGAAGATCCATATCCCATGCTATATGAAAATCCAGCATGACTGCTTTGCCAGAAAAACTCATCTAGATGGTATTTTCATAAGTTTTAGAAAAGGCCTTTTTTACATTATTATTGATTAGTGAGCTCTTAAAAAAACTGTATGGTTGGTTTAAAATTGCCTAACTAACCTCCAACAAAATATAGCTGCTTGATCTGTGATATAATAATAATTGTATGGTTTGGCAGTGGTAACTTAAGTGCTCCTTCAAAAATGAAGGTCACATAATTCCAAGCAAGTTTAATCCTGGATCCGTATTATATTGGTGAGAGACACAGTCAAAAGCTCGTGAAAGATCACAGAGCAAGACAGAAGTGTTTTGTTTGGTTTCAAAGCAATCAAGCACTACCTGAAGAAGGGAGTCCACTGCCGAAACAGTGGATCTATCTGCCCTTCCTAAAGCCGTACTGCGCAGGCACAAGCAGGTGATGGACTTCAAAGTACTCATACAGTTGTTCCAGCATAACAGCCTCAAACTTCTTTGCCAGAATGGGAATTATAGCTATAGGCCTATAACTAGACAAGTTATCATGAGATCCCTTTGTAAAAACTGGTACAACTCTGGAGATTTTCAAGGCGTCAGGAAATACCCCTTCATACAAACAGGTGTTTATGATGGTAGTCATGGGAGAAGCAATTACATGAATTATACCCTTAAGTAGTTCAATCGTCATGTCAAAACAATCTTTACTCTTTGACAGTTTTTATTTTTTAATCGTTTAATCGATTTATTTTTTAATCGTTACGTCACTAACCTGCGGGGGGTATAATCCCGCCACCCCCGTTTTTCGTATCTAGTACATATTGGTGACACTGGGCACTAGCACGGCCACCTAGACAGGTGACATCAGCTCATTAATTCGCACTTTATTGATTTAAATTTAAATTGATGATCATAAATTTATTAAAATATTGAAAATAAAACATACAGAATTGAAAATCGAAACAATATGAATTCAAATCTATATCTGTACATTTTAAGCGGAGTCAATATTGTCATAGTCCAGTAACCAATCTTTCGTAAATACACAATACCATTAGCTGCTTCCAAACAAAAACAGCTGTTACAACACCACTTGCGACGTTGCCAGTTCGAAGGCCGCGGCCTGGAGTTAGAAGGCGGCCGTGGCACTAGTGTCGACGAAACTTTGTTTATATTATTTTAGTGTTAATTTAATGATTTGTATTTTATTGTTTGGTTATTTAGCTAGGTGATGAGTTATTGTTTATGGTTGAATCATTTTATTTGGATAAAAGAGGTTTAAAATTACTTATCAAGAAACAAATTATAAACAACATACGATTACAGTGGCACCGGACGTAACTAACAATACTTAAAATTGTCTATAACATACGTTGTGTATCATCTTGTATTGTCTATAACAAATCTACTAATGAACTATGTTTTATAGATGATTTTTAATCTATGCTATGGTCCTGATATCACCTCAGTTGAAAACTCCAGCTTAAATACTATTACGGTACCTAAGGGAGTATGTTTTATCTATGCTATTACTTCTGACTTCTCATTCAAATACTTCTCATTCTCATTTCTCTGCGACACTATGCACTATGCAGTTAGCAGCTCCATAGTACCGCAGTGGGACCAGCCACTCATAGAATAGAACTGTTTGTCCCTGTCCTGTCGGCAGCTGAAAAGTGAAAACTTGATAACCCCAATAGAAAAATAAAATAACCTCACTTTTGTCATTTTTGTTGAGTGTTATTAGACCTAAATAATAATAATTCAATTGTTAATTATTATGGTTGTGGGATATTGGATGGTCGTTGAATCGAGATAAAGTAGGTATATATCTCTAAGTTATTCACTGATTACTTTATTAAAGAATTGTCGAGAGTTCTACCGTTGACTAGGATTTACAGTCAACGGTTCTACCCTATCATTCTGATTAAGTTAAGTAGCTCTAAGTAAATGTGTAGGCTTTTGACATAATTATGCCGTAGCATTATTAAGACCAAGAGCCTATAAAAATTGAGGTTAGCCATAGCCTAGCCATCAGATTAAAAAACAAGAAAAAGAATTGAGGTTAGGATTAGGAATCCTGTTTTGCAAAATTTGAGTTTAACTTAGTAGGTAATTCAGAGACGTTGATCTGATCGGGTTTAAAGTGTAGATACCCGTGAATCTAAACACCAATTATCCCAAATATTAAGACTATCCTTGGTAGGCTACTATCTCAGGGCCGTCCCTAGGGTTTGACGGCGCCCGGAGCAAACGTGGTCGTGGTGCCCCCTCCCCCCCAGTAATAGTCGCATTCACATATTTGGCAGATATTTGATATATCTACAATGCAATATCGTGTAATTTTTAGATGTCTACTTACAGTATTTTTCACGCCGAATCCAAAAATGCAATCAGTTTTTGTCGGAGAGATTCATAAGTGGCCGTAAAACGAAGGTTAAAATTACGAATCTATGGTTCATTGAGCTATACTGATGGTACTATGGCGTGGTCTGGATGGGTCGGTATGTGGACTGTGGACTGAGTGAGTAGGAGAGCAAACAGCTGTTTATGCTAGACTTAATCTATATAATTAATACGCTAGGCCTACATGAAACTTTGTCGGTTGAACTCCTCCGCCATTTCTTAACCGATTTTATCCATTGACGTCTCATTGGAAAGAGCGTGTCGCGTAGATTTGCAAACTGGCCTTACATTTTTGAAAAAGTCCCTTGGCCTCTGCCCCATTGGCTTTGAAAGTTCCCATGTTATCCTTATAGAGAACACAATTGTTTACATTTTGATCAGCTGTATAATTTAATTGCTGTTATTTATTTTATTTTTCAATCCAATGAAACGCATTGAGTACATTTATTTACTACATCATTTGAGTTTGTGTAAACAAAACCCCCAAGACGGATCGTGTTAGTATGGTTGTATCTCAAATTTGTGCATTTATCGTTGTTTTGTGTAGCTATAATGTGTTTAATTGTTGTTTTTTTCTTTTAAATGCCTACGACGTGAAGACAACGAAACATAGACAGGAGGCGTAATCGTGATAACGACCCCTACAGAACAGTGGCGCGTAATAGGCTTAACTCATCAAGTCAGCACCTGACCCTGGACAATCTCAACTATTAAGTTATAAATGCGCCCTAACACTACCCCAAAACGACTTTTTGTTCTCAATTGGCCCTCTATGAATGACCTGTGTTGCCTGTACAGCGAGGCATTTTGAGAAGGAGAAAACCGGCCGGAATGCTTTAGTTTTATCAATAACGAAGATAAACATGGTCTGTGTTACACACCAACCGGTAATGTTTGAGTTTACTCTTTTGAACTCATTGTAAATATGACTGTTATTCGTTTAGAAATAACTCCTGTAATACTTTGCAATTGCTCGAATTCGAGCAACGTGTACACTAGTGTGGAATGAAATCAATTAGTTTTGAAACCAAATAATCAGTTCTTATTTAGGCATGTGAGGAAGGTAGGTCGGGTTTCGTGACTGTATTAAGTGTTTTGAAGTGAGGTTAGATTAGAAAGGTAAAGGTTAGGTTATAATGAACCGACTCATTAATTTATGCAACTTCCAGACTTTTCTTGCACAATTGAAATAGTGGGTGAAACACAATGGAATAACAATATCAAAAATGCATGCGCTCATTAGTATAACCCAGTTAAAGAAACTTTACCCTGTCGGCCTTAGTTACTAACAAGACTACAAGATCACGCCACCTATCCTACACTCATATTTGGGTTAAAATACGCACATAGTGGCGTCTCCATCTTAAATAATTAATTGATAGATTGATAGCCTGCCAATCACTCAGATTATATTGTGAAAACTCAGCTAGCCTAACTTATGGAGTTGTAGGCCTACTAAAGGATTCTTTTTCTTAGGTAGAAGAATGGCATGGCATCTTAGGATTCGGAAACCCAGAGCACTCACAACTTCCAACATTGTAATTGGAACATTTCTGGGATTTGTAACAGGCTTCTACATCTATAACTCTCCGTTACAGGAGTACACGAAAGATCAAGAAACAAACAAACTAAATACTGAAACTTCAAAGGAAGACATAGCTTAGTTGAAAACAGCAATAAGAAAGTGGTGAGTTGTCATTACTGTATATTTAAAAATCTTAACATGGAGAAACAAAATATTAACAGAGGTTTTAGCATCAGACTTACCAGGTACCTACCTAACTTAATGTAAAATAATGCCCTAGGATAATTGATTATTTGAACTTAAAATAGTTGAAGAGATACGCTACATCATAAGGCACAAATTTGCCTTTTCTTACATGATATCACAGATAGAGTGCACTCCGGTGTGTATTGGTCAATTAAAAATTCTTCAAGAATCGTTACAAACTTACCCTATTTTTTTAGTTTGTCTGAATGCAGAAGCTGAGTTAAATTTAGCTCTTGAGCTTAAAGTTATTTTAATAGCCTTTATTAATAGCCATAAACTCTCCCTAATGGTTTTATATCATCATAATGAAAGGATAATTTCAGTTTCTCATTATTTACCCACATAAAAAAAGGCTCTAGATTTTGGAATACTGTACAATGAAAAGTTTACTTGTACCTTATAAGTTCAATGATACAAGTTAGGTAGAGTTATTATTTACTGTCTCTGTCTAGTATAACTATTCATTTTCTAAGGGTTTTTTTTTCATAAAACTATAATATTTCAGTCAAAATGGAAAAAAAACAACCACCAAAGAGAATTCCAACAAGATTGGAGAAAGTCAATGCTGAATCTGTTTCTAGAAAGCCTTTTTTAAAAATATTCAAGCAAAATTTAACGTCAAAAACAACTCTCGGTATTTCTGGGTTCGTACTTGTGGTCCTCTTTGCAATAACTGTGGGAAAGCCTGCGTATACTGTGCGGAAAATGAAAAAAGCTGAAGAATCTGCGGACCTACTGTGGGAAAGAGATCATAGATATTCATCAAAATAATGTAAAAAAGTGTAAGTAGTTTGTATATAGGCCTAGTTAAATAAAAATCAAATTATTATGTTGACAATTGAATTACTGGTATCATGTTACTTCCTCTCAATCAAACAATAAGGTACAGAACCTTGGGGTTTTTTTTACTCAGTCTTCTAATTTATTTTTAGGGATGTCTTTACCAGCATTTCATGTGTTATTGAAACTCAACTGCAGATTGGTAATGAAAATCGTCCAATAACACTTCTTATTTTGGTTTTCATCTACTGTGTTGCCATACCTAGGCTGTTAAATAAATATCATGGTTTTAATAAAGTTATCATGAAGTAAATTTTTTTTTAAGTAGGCCTAAGTTTGTAGTTAACTTACATTAAGGCTTACCACACTTGATAGACTCTCAAATTAGTGGGGACAAAGTTTCCAATTAAATATTTAGATTCCCCCATGTTAATCTTATGGGAGAAACTCCAACTTTGATGGCCTGTGGGGCAAAGCCCGAGAATTTGCATTACAGGAATTGGTGAAAGGGGGCGTCTACACAAAAAGTACTTTTTGACACGTCGTTTGTAAAAATCCGTCCATTATTAATGGAGGAGTAGTGTTTCGTAGAAATCGCCTTCAAGTATTATATATAAGGGTTACATGTGCAATATGGGCAAATATAAAATAATAAATTATTAGACATATAGATATAAAATCGACACTGAAGAAAATTTAAGGAAATATACGGAGAAATCTTTCATGAATTTTTTCTGTAATAACATTTTTTAGCGAATTTCCCAATAGGGAAGTAGCTGTGGTAATTATTTACTTGAGGGTGACCAAGGGTTCTATATAGTGGTGTCGTATAGCAGCATATAGTGGCAGAATATTTCAGTTCTGGCGGAGAGGCTGCAATTTTAGGTGGTTATAGTATACAAGTTTCTGAACCTAAAACCGCCCAGACCCCAATTTTTAAGGACCTCGGTCGTCCGTAATGACGTCATCAAAATGGCGGCCGTAAGAGGATGCTGGGTCCCCATGAATCGGCTATAACGACCGAATGCCTGAACCGATTTTCATGAGATTTGGCACACAAGTGCTTGAATACATTATCTCGGCCTGGGTTGAAAATGGTCAAGTTTCATCAAGTCATTTCAAAATGGCGGCTGTTCAAAACTAAAAAAATATGAGGAAAATAATTGTGAATTGTTTTATACAGGGTGAGTTTTAAATGAGTTCCCACCCTACTTTTTTATACATTTCTTAAGATATCAACTCCGAAACACGTCAGATCATTGTAGAGTAGGAAGTACTTCATTTTGACTGGGTTTAAATTTTTGGCCGCCATCTTGGATCCACCATATTGGATACAAAGTTATTTTTTCAAATGTAAAGGTAGGGTTGTGACCCACCGTTTCAAACAAGACTATTACGCCTTATGCGATGCTGCAATCTATTAAAAAAAATGTTGATCCATTCTAAAGAAGTTAGACTTTTTATAACTTTATTTTTAGTCCATTATAACATTGTGCATTTACAAACTAAGGCCATAATCTCAAAATAGTGCTAGATAAAGATAAGTGGACACCACCATTCATTGTTGACCTATTTTCACTCGGTTATGACGGATGTATTTTTTTCAGCCGCCATCTTGGATCCGCCATTTTGAAATATGATAGCTTTCTTGATAAAATATTACAATTACTTTTATTTAAAATGTCAATATTTCAAAAACCAAATATGACAATGAAGAACGGATTGCGGCATTGAATTCAGCATAAAAAAAAGTAGTTCAAAATGCTGGGTCACAACACCACCTTCATATTTAAAATAATTTATCGCACAAAATAAGTTTTTGTGGCAGCAGAAAAATTTTTGCATAATTATTTTCAGGTAAAAATCTAGTTTCCAATGATATATAACTTACTATAGAACGCTTGGTCACCCTCAAGTAAATAATTACCGTAGCTATTACCGTAGGTCTCATGGTAAGACCTAGGCCCAAGACTGATTTACTTTTTCATTTTTATGTCCCCAGAGGCCAAAATATACCGTTACGAAGGTATATTACGAAGGCTTGTTAATAACATTGGACACCGACACAAATATGCAACGTCAGTCTATTTTAATGTGACCAGCTGTCGCATATAGCTGTTATATTGCAGTAGCGAACGTGTTAATGACAAATTGGTGACAGTTGGTTTATGTAGATAAGATGCCTACTTTAGTATCCAAAAGTTAATATCTCTAGGGAAAAACTTGAGCCCATAATACACTTTTATGGTTTAAGGTTATGTATAAATATTGTACCAAAGTAATACAGCACATTCATCCATACGGAATCGGTCTATGAGATTTTTACTTTCTCTCACTATATAGTATTAAGAAAGTTAGGTACCTTGACACTTGTCTTTTTGAAAAAAAAAGGAGTTGGATGTATTGAGAAAGGAAGTTGGGCAAAGAGAAAACAATAGTCTGATGTAATATAAGTGTATTTATGTCTAATAAATAACAAACTACATTTCTACAATAATAATAAAGTGAGAACTTTGTTCAAAGCCAAGAGTCCTGAAAAAATTGGTCCGTACACAAAAAATAACTTGTGTGTTAATGTACAAAGATGAGTCGTTTAAGTTTTATTCACCTGCGACTTCAATATACAATTGAGATTCTATTTGAAATATTATGTTTGCTAAGTATTTTGTGAGTTGTAGTTCCACTATTAATTTTGTAAGTAAGTATATGTTATTCACATTTGGCATCAATAAAAATGCTGTATGCTGGACAGTTTAATATTTTTAAAATTTACAGCTTTAATAATACTTGAAATAGCTTACGGTGTATATCATACAAGCTGTTGATGCTTTTGAATTGGCTGTTAAACTTAAGTAAAACAATTGCTTAGGAATCTAAAACTTATAAGGAAACTTTTTTTCCATAACATTAATTTGATTTGAATTTGAGGTATTCTATGGTATTTTGTTTGACTTTTGAAAAAGTAATTTAATCTTAATTTGACAAAAACGTGTAGAATAGGCCCTACATGAATTGTTTGTAGTTAATTTGGTCATGGTTATTAGATACTTTTATTTGTTTTACTGACTGCTTCAATAAACCATCCATGAGTTTGTTTATTTTACTGCCAGAAGATCTTGTGGTATTTAGTTATGCCAGAAAATAAAATATATCAAATCTTTTCTGGCCAATCACAAAATGAATTAACTCTTTGCTAATTTCTTAACTACTCAGTCGTAACAAAAATCAACTAAAACTATTTACATATCTTTTCAAAATAAAATAATAAGAAAGAATTTACAAAAATAAATATTCACATTACCGTGTAACTGTTGCTAAACATTAAAAAAATCTTTGGAACTAAGGAAACTTTTCCTAGTCCTTCTACAATCACATAAAAAATTAGAAGCCTATATTTACAAGGTAACTAATTATACAAAGGCTATGTACAACAACTTAATTGTAGTAAATCAGTACAAAAATTATGTCTGAATAGCAATCGTAACTACTAAATATTGTATTTAAGTGGTTTTGATTTATATACAGGCAAAGATTTGTCAATGTATAAAAGCCCCGATTCATTGTTCTTGTGAGAAGCTTGATTACTAAAAATATAGCTGAACCATAAGTGGTTTAAAACCCAATAATAAAGGTAATACATCCAATGAGTGCATACATTTTAAATTTACATCTGTTCTCACGACTTTACGTAAAGAACTTCACAACAATCATGAACAAGAAGCGAGAAAGAATCTCCTATTGTACAACATGTAGGTGAATACTATATATATACAGTACTCCTGAATATTTTCATTGTTAATTTAATGAAAAAATTGTGTATAACAAACCAGCCTGTGGTGTTCCTAGTATTATTTTGCAAATATTGTTTGAAAAATCTAGTAATATAACAGTTTTGGGCTAATTAATAAAATAAGGCTGTTGTAATTTGAATTTGTACAAAAAATATTGGTAAAATAATCCTTTCAAGTGATTATAATCCTCTCTATATCTTTGGATCTGTACAATAAAAATAATTAAGGTAAATTTTAACATTTGAATGACAAATTACTTCGTAATCTAAGCTAAGGTGACAAGAGTTTCCGATGCGAGTCTACGAGGTAAGACGAGTGTTTCGGGACGTTTGCGCAAAAAGAACACCTTGATACATTGTACCGTTGATGTCCAAACTGACCACAAGCGAATTGTCGTTGCCTCCACGGCCGTCATCTGCAAAAAGCATTAGGTTAAAATTCTCAACAGTTGTAGCAGACTTCAGTTAGTCCTTGTTTTACATGGTTGATGCAATGTGATCAAGCGCTGTGCAGAGCAACACTGCTTGAAGAAGTAAAATATACCACTTGAAAACTTTATATCATAAATTAAACAAGTTAATTGTGAACATAGAATACGCGTAAATTATTTAAAATTAGCATTCGACAACACTGTGTATGGGACATTGGTAAAATAAAAATTCTGCCCACATATATGTTTTTGTTTGGAAAAGTTTAATTACAAACGTAAGGGGAGATCTAGAAGCTCCCCTGGGGAAATTTATAATGTCTAAAAATTGTTTTGGCTAGATGTCGTTTGTCAACATTAATTAATGATGCTACCCAACAATGTTAAGGATAGTATTAAGACCAATGTTTGACTTCCCCTTTAAAAATACATGTAATTTACTGTTATTTTCAACAGTTTTAAGTTTACTCATATTATCTAGCATATTTTTGTTCTTGGTCTGCTACTGATATCAGCAATACTCACTTCTGCTTGAGATCTTGATATGAGTGCCTTGTAGGCCTGTCTTAGGTTCATCCGCAGGGTCGGGCTGATGTCTCTTGGCGGGGGGAGGGCCGACAGGGTCTTCTCTCTTCTCTAGGTTGATAGGTTCCTTCTGCGGCTCTGGTGGGGACCCCTTAAAACAAACACAATCATAATCTCTAAATCACCAAATAATCATAATCTCTTTCTCTCTTGGCATCACCATTATGCCAGATACCCAAAATAAAGTATAATTTGAATGGGTAATAACATAGCCTTCTCTAATACAAAGCCACTGCAAGGGAAATTTGGAACACCCTCCTGGCCTACCAAGCAATAATTCATATATTATGTAACAACATTTGTGCAGTTGCTAATATTCACAATTTTTAATTAATTAAGGCTAGGTTAGAAACTAAAACTAAACAGGATTAACATACACATGTAAACCTTTAGAGAGTTTGTACAGTACATCACTGAGCTTAACATTAATGGAACAGAGTATGTGGCTGATTACGTATGCAGTTTCGGAGTGAGAGGCGAGTGGAGGGAATTGCGGTGTGGCCACATTTTTACGAGCAGCGGCCTTGCATTAGAGGAGGCTATGGTGATAGATATAACTCCCAAAAGAGTAAAGATGTTAAAATTCCTATTCTAGTTTTTTTACTATTTTAGAGGGGTTCTATCACAAAAATTGTGCAAAATTATTGTGTCGGGTTTTTTGTTAATCTAGTCCAAATTGAAATGAAATGATTGTATGTGTAACTGTATCACTGAGTGAGACCATCTGGTTGTTTTACCAGGGGTACCATTGATCAATCCCTAAACCCCCCCCCCCCCCCCCAATGATCATCAGCCGTGTCCAGTTTTGAACCACGAAAAAGTTTCTGACCTAACTAGCGACCCATACAATACTTTTGACTGCCAGGGGGGCCTCAAACTTCTGCACAGCATAAGTTTTCTCTACAGAAAACCACAACGGGTGTTTTTGAATATCTTTGGAAAGTTTTTACCCAAACACAACGATGGTAATCTCACCTGGTTGTGGTAGAGGTTCCAGAGGGTGAGCCGGGACATGTCGAAGGCGGCCAGAGCTGATTCTGGGGGGGAGGTGGGGGGTGAGTCTGCAACAGAATAAAGAATTATTTTTCAATTCCAGCCAAAAGATGAAATTCTTTTTTTACATTCAAACTTGCAATGAATGAATGAATGAATGAATGAATGAATAAAGTGCTTTATTTTAAAATAAACATTCCCCTCATAAACATAATCAAACACTTAATAAACAATGGTCTACGACCGTCTGTTTGGTTGACACACCTGGAAAACACATTTATGAAAATGAAGTTGAAACAAAATACACTTAATAACATACACAATAATGTACATACAATTTTACATCCATTTTTAACCTAAACTAAAAAAAAACCCTTTTTTCATAATATTGTTTACATAACTTGTATTATTTTACTTTTAAAATTATTAGGTTTTAAAAGGTTTAAGCATAATGAAATCTATAAAAATTACTATGAATATTCAATAAGACAGGCTGACAATTTATTTGACATATTTATTGTTTTGCTATAATTTATAAATTAGAAAGAGAAAAAAAAACAATTTTGAATTTGGAAAAAAAAAAACTTCACTTGATTTATTCGTAATTAAATTCTCTAATTAACTCCCACCTCCTTCTCCACGCCTCTCTCATAAAGTTTGCTAATTTACGCCAATCCCTACCATTTATGTATTCTATGTGTTCGTCCCAATGCATGCTTCGTTTCCCAAACCAATACTCCCTGATATCACCTAAAATTGGGCAAATAGAAACAAAATGAAAAACTGTTTCAAATTCGCGCAAATTGCATAGACTACAAAAATGATTTTTATTTGTTATCCATGGTTTGTGATTCAAATCAACCAGCTCGGCTCGGGCCTTAATGACCCATGAGATAAGATTTATATTGATGCTATCAGTGAGAAAACTCCTGGGCCCTAGGTCAAGGTCAACGGCAAGCAGTTGTTGGTGATATTGCGATGTACGCGCTCTGCCAACCATATCAATTCTCCAGCTATCTCTTTCCGCCTCAATTATCTTCACTAATCCCTCAAAAACATCTGCTGACTCGAAATTAATATCCAAAACGTGTTTTCGCCCTAGACATTTCCACTCTTTGGCCCAAAAAATACCTTTTCCAATTACAGATTTAGCAATACAATCAAACTTGCAATGACAGAATGTTGTATTTTGAGCAAGTTTTTTTGTAAGGGGACGGACTCGTTTATTTATTTCCTTAAATTAAACATATTTTTACATAACATTTTGAAGAATGATCAAACACTACTCTTTCTTTCATATAATAATAAGTTTAGACAGGAATTTAATAGTTAACAAGCATACCTTTCAGTGGGTGTTTCTAGGGGGGAGCTATTGTGTGATTTAGGTTTCCCAGAAAGGAGGGAGTCCTATCCCTGAAAAATCTAGTATTTATAAAGCCGTTTTAACGTCTAAAACTGTGTTAAAAGTCCTCTGTTACGTTTTTAAGACAAAATGTATGTTTAAATTAATTTTTCTTGGGTTCAATGGGGCTTTAGCTCCTGTAGCCCCCCTTGGAACCGCCACTGATACCATTAATCCATCTCCTGAAAATATTTAACTCCTAGAAACTCACACTATTAAAACAAGAATTTATTTTTAATTACTGCAACACAAATATTTAACAATAAATCATGAAGCATTGTAAATTACTGTTAGCATATAGTTGAGGATAGAAAATCTGAATAGAGCTCAATGTGTCCTTCAGACTATCAGAGTGGCAAGTTTTATAGTGAATTGTCCTTATCTGAATGACAAATGGTGGCATTCATGTCTGATAACCACAATGTCATTTCCCTGAAATTATAACCTATCTATCCATATGGATAACCTTAATTAGAATAATTACCTTATCAGGTAACTAGAAGAGAAAGTTGAGTGAGATAGTGCTATTTTAATGGCACCATGATTAAAAAGAAATTGGATATTACCTTTGTTGGGGGTTAAGTTTATGTAACAAATGTTAAATTTTGGAAAAAATACTAGAAATACTTTGGAATAAATAATTGTACCTTTAATTTAAATTTTAGTAGTAAAATGTTGGAATTTTTGGATAAAATTCCACCGATTATTCAGGGACTTCAGCAACAAAATTTGAAATAAGCAATAAATCTTTTTACATCTTTGAAATGGAAAAAACAGCATTGTTTTAAAAATTATATTTAATCTTAGGAACAGCTCTTTTTCAAGTTTTTAAACCAGTATAAACTTTTTTGTATACGCAAAGTAACTTACTGTGTCTGTGATTTGGTGGAGTTACTCCTGTGGTCCTTAGTTCCTTATTTAACAGTTTGACATATTCTACCATTCTTGCTTCAAATTCTGCAGGAGGTATTGCTGCGCCATGTCCTGAAAACAATCAAATTTGTAACTAAATTTATCTTTGATTATTGATAAAAGTAAAAATTTAATTTCCATGTTATGTAAGTTGTAGAGGGTTTTCAGAAAAAAAATTGGGTTAAATTAATCTTTAATCTTACTTAACTTAAAAACGCAAGATTTAATGGGAGAAAATGGAATGTTTAGGTACTGTAGCACAATCTGTGAGAATTTCATTCAACTATATTCTATTTGAATAAAGAATTCTGGCCCCATCTGGTCCAAATAGATAAGGTATTTTCAAACATCCATTTAAAATACAATTTTGTTCAGATGTAGTACCGTACTCGTTTATGTCTCATTGTTGGATTTCCATACATGGAATGATAGTTTCAATCCTAACAAAGTTGAAGACTAAACAGCCAGTTTGACTGGGCAGCAGTTAAACTATCATCGCCTCATCTATCTAGATCGGATGGAGAAGTTTGGGACTAATCCAAATTTAAATTGAATTCTATCAGTTGGAAAAGAAGGAAGCATCAGTCATCAGATGAGATTGGCAGCACTGATCTGGCAGAGTTCCAACTGCCAACAATAGATTACGCCAGATATAAACAACATTCTCACGTTTTATACCATCAGAAATTACAAATAGGCAGCCAACTTCCTTCCTTTGTCGAACAAAGTTATGTGTAAAGTGCAATAGATTGTTGGGAAATTAGCAAGAAATCATTCTGGATCCAGTTGTCTACCATGTAGACAACTTTTCAATGCATTGGGTTCTTAAGATAGATCATCGGGTAAAGCTGCTTGTTGGAAAGCAATAATAGTTATATAGGTCTAATAATAGAACACCAGAGATGTGTTCTAACGTCCAAGAGAAGCCCAAATACCTCTGAGAGTTTGCAAACTAAATCCTTATAAGAATTTGAATATCCGCCTTTAAAATTAAAATAAAGAAACACAAGCGTTCATTAAGGAGACTAATATACATAAGAGAAAACAAGCCATCTGTAGAATAGAAAGAGTAGCCTCTGAAGGGAGAATGGAGTCGGATAGTAAGAAATCACCGAGGAGAGTTCAGGAGCCCCAATAGGTCACATTATCATCAAAAAGAGCCAGAAATGGTTCACATGGCATTGCATACTAATTCATATCTTCGACCTGATTGTCCACCGTACACCTGTTTTGTCATGGAAATTCTGCCATTGTGTGGATGACAATAATGGAATCATGTATGAAATATAATTTCCGACCCATTGAACAAATGCTAACGCGCCTCTTTGGAAATCATCGGGCTTTGTCAGACGGGCACGTTCCTTATTAGTTTTACACACGACTTTTCAATGCTTCGTACGTGTGCAAAATAAAAATGTCTATGATGAATATCAGTTGGTTTATATTTTTAGCAGAAGACAATCTTTTTCTTACTGCATTGACTTAGTGTATTGCAGTATTTTCTGCTTATCTTTTGGTAACGGTTTGTTGTAAACTGCTTTCTGGAATCTGGAATGAGTAATAGAGCAATATACACATTTAATAATTTGGTCCCATTTGTTTTACTTTGTTATTCATGTTTCTCGTCTTATTACTGGGTGGTTGTGTTTGGCTCGTATCTGATGCAATATGAATGTGTTAAAAATATTACTATATTATTTTAGCTTCCATAATACTTGAGGGTTATTTGAATCTGGTTGGAATATCGGCTTCTGCAATTCAGTTATAGAAACTACCATTGTATGAACAATCAATTCTCCTAATGTACTTTTGAATTATTTTGCGGAATAATGGCTAATTTTTCTGACCATAGTCGTCTAAACATTCATAATTTATCACCCATAAAATAGCATACATTCTCAGCAAGGTTTTTGGGTATGCCAAATATTTCAGAGCTAGTTCCATAATAGCATTGATAAAACATACTCATCCCTTGTGTTGCTTAGTCTATGATAATAGTCTATGTAGGTAGTCTCATGTAGTATTGAGAACCAAGTTTGAGAATAGACCTCTTTGTAATGTGGAGTGATGTTTTATTCTCACCTGAGTACTAAAATGAAAAAGTCACAGTTCTTGCTAGCGCTATATCATTAGCAGCTGTCCGAGAAAACTCTCCCAACAACAATTAACAGGATGGAGTCATCCATTTACCATCGCTGATCATCTGTGCTGTACTAAGCAGTTGAATAAATAGAGATTTCAAATGTCAAAGATAAACTATTCCAGGAATCAGACGTTTGATATGGCAAAAACTTGAACATTACCGCTCAGTAAATAGTTGGCACAGAAGATGTTTTGATAAAACACTTGTTATCTTCTCATGACAATGTTTCTTATGGTAAAAGTTTTATGACTATCGTCTGATTCAAAATTAAAAAAAAAATACTTGTTTCATCTAGAAATTCAGGGCTGAGGGCTGAAATGGAAAAATCGGACCTTGGAACTCGCCTTTCCTGTCTTTTTTTTAAGTGGCTAATTTGTATCTGGTAAAATGTCTATAGCTCATGTCAGAGCATATTTTTAGGGATTTCCACTGGGCGACAGTGGTGCCGGAGTGACTGAGGGGGCCCCATCAAAACCTCCCACTATAGTTTTCTGATTGACTCTGGATGGTTTTTAGTATCTAGATGAAATTTAACTCCTTAAATACTCAAGGTTTACTCACCAGCAAGACTGGGTGGCATGAGCGCCTGATGGGGGAGGTGGTTGTTGTTGGTCGGGTGGTGGGCCGACCCGTTCACCTGAGGACGACCTGTAACTAGTGACAGGGGCGACATCTGAGACGGACTCCTCTGCATCATTTCAGCGTAAGTTCCATAACTACCTCGTCGCCCCTCCCTCCTGTTGCCGTCTATGGCAGCCTGCAGTTCGCCCGGGGTGCTCAGACGACGCTTCTCACACTCGTAGGGGTACAGGTACTTCATGTATCTGCACAAGAATATGAAGATTAGGTACAAGAAACACTTAAGTATTTCTCAGCAAAGTTTCTATACAGAGGAATAAACTAAATTTGGACCGCTTTCCCAAAAAGCATTTGAGTATTTTCTCTATAACTCTTTGAAAAATGCCACAGGGGTAGACAATAGAAAAATAATTAATAAATAAACTTGAGATTTTATCGGGAGAAAAAAAAGAAACACGTCTACAGTATATTTCATGGTTTCAGCACAGGTACTAATGCATCGGTTAAAAAACTAAGTGGTTGCAAGAGCAAATAAGAGTACCTGTACTATCATAACCCAAAAATAGTATCAGAGGGTAGGAAAACACCATTTCCTTCAATAAACAGAAAACATAAAAAACATATTAGTTCAAAATAAACTTGAGCCGTGAGCATTCATAATACTCTAGTGTTTATAATAAATCGTAAAAAACACTCTGGATTAAATTGGCCGAAATAAACATTCTACATTAAAGCATCCATTCACAGCCTGAAGCCCGTTAGTGGTTTAATCTACGAGCCGGGATGGCGCGATTTAGTCGGTCGATTTGGCGGTCGTGAAGCTTGTCAAGGTGAGATTGAGATGACAGAGGTGGGATATTAATAAGCATTACAGTGCACCAGCCCCGTCTCTGTCACCAGGCTATTTCAGGGACGCCACTATCATGGCTGATAGATGTAAACTAAATCAGACTCTTACAATAGTATCGTTGAGTATACACTTTATTATAGTATATAATCAATGGTAGTAAATAGGATTAAATTATTTAAGGAGCCCCACTTGATGGCTGATAGGTGTGCGCTAATGGCCAGTTGAAGTTAAGTGGATAAGACCATTGACTATACTTTAATATATTTAATGATAAGACGCTGACAGTAGTATCGTTGAATATACACTTATTATAGTAGCCTATATGATAAATGGCAGTAAATAGTACCTCTTCACAGTGTTTCAGAAGCACCAGTAGATGGCCCATGGAACACAGATTTGGTTGTGGTAAAGTGGATGAGACGCATAGCTACAGTAATAACGTCGAATACACACTCGTTATAATATATAATCCAACAATATAATCAATGGTAGTGAAAAGGGTTACAGAAAAGTGAGGAAACTTCTAAACGGAATGGAGAAACATCGGTATCAAAGAAAAAACGTAGGTAGGCCTATCTAAAATTTTTCGATAAAAGAGCTGAAGGTGGACCGATGTTGACAAGCTGTGCAGACTGCAGTAACAAACTGTGTTTTAAATGTTTTTACCTACGATAGTTCTTTAAAGTAGCCATTTCAGTTCAGTTCTTAGAATTAAAAAGTTTCACTTAACAGCTGTTTACTTTCATAACAGCATAGTTTTCTCATAACAACTCGGGTAACAGACCAATGAGGTTCAAGGATTGAGAGAAAAGAAGTAAAATTGTAATGCTTCGAACGTCAACTAATCAGCTGATCAGTTGACAATTTTATTTTAATTGTTGATCCAACTTGTTCATGTTGATACTCGCGTATTCTTAACCTAAGTTGGTGGAAGTTAGTGAACGTGAAGTTGACAAGATGAAAATGATAGCACAAACTGTTTGTGCTAATCTTTTGCCACCAAAATCTAAACCAAGGTAAGAAATTATATACACCAGCAATTCATTAATGGACGAAACAAAATAAGGTTAAATTGATGATTAAAATGTGTTTCTGGTTTATTTTGAAAACATCTTAACCACTTTTTCATCCAACTCGCTGTGTACCACATATTCGATGCTGAGATCTACCCTACATTATTCAGTTGTCCAAAGAAATATGCAATATTTCCCTTATTGTACCTGATACAGTATTTGGTAAGAATTCTGCTAGCAAAACCTATTCACTGAAAAAGGTAACGTATTAGGTATTATTTAAGTAAGTTTTACAAACACGTACGGTAATTACATTATATCAGCTGATTATACAATAAGTCATTGCATCACTTTTAGTGGCAATGACAATAAACGAAAACATAACCTCTCTAAGAAATTATGAGTAGTGATTGTTAGTAATTAAAAACCAGATTGTCAGTAATTAAAAAACGGTCGTAGGTAAAGTAGTGTACGAAACTCGCGTTAATAGTCTTAATTTAACGCAATCGTTGCGTAGACTACTATAATATTTTTCAAATATTCACGGATTTTGATGATTAGAGTAATAAACGCTTTATGTTTATGGATTTTTTGAACTAATTGTGGATAATGTTCCTAGTCGGATTTCCACTATTTTGTGATGTCGTGATGAAGTCCAAGTATAAAATGTATCAATATTAAAAAATGTAATAGTATTATAATATACACAAACTTCATAAAAAAAAACTTTTAATGTTGGGCAATGTTATTGATATTGTATACTTGTTAGCAATCAAAACGGCGTGATCTGAACCAGACAAAACCACTCGATCGGTGAAAAGTGGAGTAGAAAGACTTCCGGGCACAGACGACCGATGTTGATATATTTGCGACGAGACAGACGGTAGATTTCGCGAGCCTGACAGGAAATTTGTTCCACTTGCTTTGTTCTTCGAAAGAAATATCATTTAGTCACAGTCTCGTTCGTTGCGCCTACAGTGTTTTATTGATCTGTGCTACGTTTACAACAATGAAAACTATTTTGCTGTACAGGATTTCTTGCATGGACGATATTGAAATGCACAGTTAGTTGAAGCATGTCGAAAAAGAAAAATATTCAAACCGAAAGGTTTTTTTATCTAAACGAAATTAGAAGAGAGCATTAAACTAATAAGACGCTGATACAACAAATAATTAATTATAATAATTACATAACAGCGAAATCGCTCAGTATTTTAGTCAATCACACAAATAGAAACGTATTTTATTTTATTTCAAGTTTATTAACATGTTTACTTTCATTTGTAATTTGCAAAGTTTTCGTAGTAAAAGCATAGATAAAAGGTCCCGTCACCAATAAGCACAGCTAGTTTTATGCCCAATATCCATACAGTTCAAGTTTAGCCTACTAAATGACCATTTATCCAACGATAATGTGATATGTCTATTACTGCACACTCAATACCACTCCGCCTACTCTATTGGTACAGGTGTAAACCATACAATCAACAACTTGGCGTTTTGCCTTCAGACTGTGAAAATAGTAAACACACTGGTTATTGGTTATTGCTTACTCATCCACCAAGATTATAAAGTGGCGACAGGTCAAAAATAGGCTGAGATTTGAGATCCATTATCGCTTATTCCACACGGATTCGTCCATAAGTGCGAAGTTCCTATGGGAGAAATAGTCCTTCTAGAGTAGTTTCTTTTCTAGCGGGAGTGGAATAATTGTATGGCATTAAGTCTACATAATTTTACGAATTATATAGGCTCATGAGTGGTTACTGGTTGTGAATTGCCAAATTTCAGTGGATTGCCAAATGTAACATTAGCGTATACAATCTTGAGAAATACAAAGTAGAAAGGTGCCGTACTTTTTTATGCATTTGAACAATTTACAATTTATAGTAGGTTCGAAAAGGGGTCAACGACTGTTTTAGGAGTTGAAAAATTCTCTTACTTAGTTTTAGTACTCCTAGTCCAATTTCAAAAATATATTTCCAATCAGTTCCAAAATATCACTCATAATTATTGAGACTAAAAGATGTAGAATCTAATTGTGATTTATTCAAATCAGCGATCACCCTTGACATTATACAGACGTTAATCAAATAAAACAATTTTTAAGTGGTCGAATAATAACGGCGGGTTGTAATAAAAGGCCGGCGGATACTAGCTCATAAATCATCTGTCAGGGTCTAGCTCAAAGCGCGGGGCTACTTTTAAAACAAAATTGATTTTCTTGAAAATATAATTATTTGTTTTCCGACTGACAAGCCAGTCGAGAGATGAGCCAAATGCAGATTAATTCGGGCAGAAGCGACATGATTGATGAGAGAGCGACATCAAAGTTAGCTCTTGTTGGCAGTGGTTCTTCATCTATCAGCCACCGCCTCCTAGATTACATGTACACTGTATCATCTTCCTTCATTCTCTGGTGTCTACGTCGTGATGACATTATCACTACAGCATCAGTACGACATCAAAGTTAGCTCTTGTTGGCAGTGGTTTTTCATCTATCAGCCACCGCCTCCTAGATTACACGTACACTGTATCATCTTCCTTCATTCTCTAGTGTATACGTCGTGATGACATTATCACTACAGCATCAGTTCGATATCAAAGTTAGCTCTTGTTGGCAGTGGTTCTTCATCTATCAGCCACCGCCTCCTAGATTACATGTACACTGTATCATCTTCCTTCATTCTCTGGTGTCTACGTCGTGATGACATTATCACTACAGCATCAGTACGACATCAAAGTTAGCTCTTGTTGGCAGGGGTTCTTCATCTATCAGCCACCGCCTCCTAGATTACATGTACACTCCTGACTACATCTGCAAGTTGAAATTCCAAAACGCCTTAAGATCCAAGAGAACTCCGTTTCCCCCCGTAGAATATGATTACCACCAGCCAAAGACTTCTTATATCCAAATCTTTAGCAAATAATAAGAACTATTGGCTACGGTTAGGAAAAAAATAATATGTTTATCATATAGATAGTCAAAAAATTCAAAAGCTGGCACGTCTAGGTGGCATTTGATAAGGTTAAGCACATAATATGACTAATTGACTGATTTAGCTACTGACTGTGTTCTGAGCGTGAAGGCTGCTGACGTGATGGACGAGGGAAGGTGCAGACCTTTGATGATCTCCTGCCAGAGCTTCTTGTTGATGACGTCAACCAGACCGCCTCTCTGGATAACCAGGTTGTACAACTCGTACAAGTCCAGCACAGACTTGGCCATGATGGGCAGTCGGTTGATAGGCGTGCCTGAAACAGTTATGTCAAGTTTAGATCCTGAACAGATACGTCCGGTTCCAGTTTAGTTCCTGATCGGATAGTTAAGTAAAGTTCCAGGATGGTAAAGTTGGGTTATGGACACGGATGGCATTTGACAATTAATGATGATTTTAGAAAAGGTTGACCGGTTGACGTCGATCGGTAACAATACAATAAATAGACCATTTTTTCGTGGTTTGGACCATCTCCTTACAAAAAAGTCGATAAAAAACACACACACAAATAGCCTACAAAAATGTTACTGCGACAGTGACTTCAGTGTATAAAGGTAATATCCTACGATTTACTGACATACAATAGGCGACATTTTACGCTTTCTTTGTAATATTCTAATATCAGCCAAGACAAAATTTACCTATTTATTCAAAACATGTGATCCAGCAGTGCAACAGTATGTTAATAAAGACATCACAAAATCCCAACTCAACAACCCCAGGTAACTTGTTTATTACAGCAACTAGTTGCCGGATAATATATAACCGACCTGAAACGTTTATAGTTTATAGGGATACAGCAAGTACAAAGTACAAAAACCGATAAAACCCTTCAGCCATGCAAATACCGTAATTTGTGACCGTTTAAAGTTTATACGACAAATTGATACGTGCTGCGACGTTTATGTCGCGCAACAATAAACCTCGTTGCAATTTTATGGACGCGAACTTCGGAGTTTAAATCATGGCGAAGTTATTAGTTTGCGAGGACAGCCTTATCAGCTGGCAACTTGTAATTATCAGCTGTAAAATGTTATCAGCTGATCTTAGCATTGTGTCCGCATCCGGGCGCGCGCGCACTTCCCCTTCGATCCGATCGCCGCCATTTTCCGCGGGTAATTGTTCCCGCAATTATTTTGGCGCGAGATCCCACCTGGCTGCGATAGCGATGGCGTCGCAACAGTGAGCGCAGATTGTGCATGATGTCTACGGTGCAACCACAACCAGATTCAGGATGTTATGTTTGTGTAACTACCTGCGTTTGCGTTTTACGACCACTCAGAGTTATGAGAAAGTTCAATTAATTAACGGAACGTAAAGCGCGCCGTTTCAACGCCTGATAAATATCAGAGTTGTTAAGTCATGTAACGAAGCGAGTCATTTGTGAGGGATTAGCTGAGAAAATACATACAGCAAGGTTTAGATGTAAAATGTCCGAAGTACTAAGTGCCCCGGCAAACAAATAGGGGTTATATAGTGATGCATTTTAACTGAATGATTCCTTGAAGATTCTGATTTAAGGAACTAAAATTTATTTCCCGAGACCTGAAGAAAAACACCGGTTTCACTTCAAATCTGGTCTGTCATGGTGGTTAACCTAACGTCTTGGACTTCATTGCCGTTTCAATCTCCGGCTTTACTCGAGTTTTAAGCGTTTGGGGGCTGCTTTCCCCGAATAACTTGTATAACTAGTAACTACGAAACAAAATGCATCTGGCGTAGCCGTAGACATAGATAAAAACTCCAAGCTGTAGAAAGGGGAAATCGAATTCCGATGATCACCTAACAAAATATAGGTAACAAGATGCAGACAATTCTGATTTTAATCGTGGACTAAAACGATAACTTATCTTTATACGTATCTTTAATTAAGTTCTGTAAGAGAACCTTAAACTATACTTTAATTCCCTTACATGTATTATAGGAAGGAACAATTCGTGAAAGATATGGAGAAGTATACAAGGGTTTTAACTGAGCTGTAAATTACGGGTAACACTTGTTAGATTCAATTTTTTCTACCAAATTTATACTTTAACCAGCATCCCGGTTGACGACACTATTATTAATCCCGCATAAAAGGATTCTCGGTAAAACAATTACAACGAAATTACCGCAGTAAAGGATCGAAAGGACGAGAGAACGTCCACGAAACGAGCCCCAGGTAACAAAAGTTTAACAGTGTTTAATACACGGCTATATCAACTAATAACAGTTTGGTAGCGGGAGGCGAGTAATTTGAGACCGTTCGATACCCCGAGCCAACAATCGAGAGGTCGAACGATTATACGATCGATAAAGTCGAGACCTATTATTAGCCGCCATCACGGAACACATGAATAAATAAAATACCGATTCCTCCCAGCCAAATATGCGGGAACGGCGTCATCATAAAAATGTGAATCATGTTTTCATACAGTAATTATGTTGCACGCTAGCCCGACTTTACGACTTTTCCCAGAACTGGGACTGATTCCCGGTCGTATAATGTAGGGCTCGACCAGGCGGCACGATACCGACTCTGACACTGTGTAGTTTGTACACGATATTGACTTAGCTTTGGCTGGCATTGTGTACACGATACCGATCCTGACACTGAGTAGTTTGTACACGATATTGACTTAGCTTTGGCATATTGTGTAAACGATACCGACTCTGACACTGTGTAGTTTGTACACGATATTGACTTAGCTTTGGCATATTGTGTAAACGATACCGACTCTGACACTGTGTAGTTTGTACACGATATTGACTTAGCTTTGGCATATTGTGTAAACGATACCGACTCTGACACTGTGTAGTTTGTACACGATATTGAATTAGCTTTGGCATATTGTGTAAACGATACCGACTCTGACACTGTGTAGTTTGTACACGATATTGACTTAGCTTTGGCATATTGTGTAAACGATACCGACTCTGACACTGTGTAGTTTGTACACGATATTGACTTAGCTTTGGCATATTGTGTAAACGATACCGACTCTGACACTGTGTAGTTTGTACACGATATTGACTTAGCTTTGGCTTATTGTGTAAACTATACAGGCTCTGACACTGTGTAGTTTGTACACGATATTGACTTAGCTTTGGCATACTGTATTGTGTACACGATACCGACTCTGGACACTGTGTAGTTTGTACACGATATTGACTTAGCCAAAGCATTGTATAGGTTTTTTTTATTTGACATAATTATGTTGAATGGTTGACATCTAGGAAGTATCAGTATCAGTAAATTAATAAAACTAGTGCACCTGTTGCTCGAATTTGAGCAACTGCAAAGTATTTCAGGCGTTATTTCAAAACGAATAACAGTCATAATTTCCAATGACTTAAAAAGAGTCAACTCAAAGATAATGTATTCATTCACTCCACTCGAGTGATCAAAACTGAAAACGAACTCACTCTGACAATGAACAGTGATTACTATGAACAGCTGTTTAAGTGTACAATTTATACAATTTATTCGTCTGTTTGAGTAAACAAAATTTTTTCTTCTTAAGAAATGGATTGGCATTTTGATGGCCTGTGGGGCAAAGCCCGAGTACTTTTATTACAGGAATTGGTGAAAGGGGGCGTCTACACAAAAAATACTTAATTTTGACACATCGTTTGTAAAAATCCGTCCATTATTATCGGAGTGTTTCGTAAAAATCGCCTTCACGTACAGTATTATATATAAGGATTCTCAACTAAGTGTCCTTAATGATGAGCGGATAAACCGAGGTATCAAATCAGCTTCAAAACTGCGACACTTATCTCTGTAATAGAACCACTGTAACACCTTTGTAGGCGAAATAATTAGACACGTTGCTTATCTTATTACAGGTGAAAGTTAGGTTAGGTCATGTGGTAGTTAGTCAGGTGGCCGCTTAGAGCGCCAGTGTTGCCAGTTGTCACTTGTGTAGTACCGCCCCCGTCCGCCAGACAGCGCGACGGTCGAGCGAGATTGACATTTATGAGACATCAGCTTCTAATTAACGAGCTGTAAACCCGCGATCGCACAAAGTAACACTTGCTAAATATAAAATTCAATTTCGTGACTCGCTGCGACGCGCCCGCGCTCTACAAGTTTTTTGCGAGGTTTGGGGTGTTTGAACAGAGCCGAGATGGAATTTAGATATTTTCTGTGTAAATATTGTTGAATGTTTGGCACTCTCAAAGCTGTAACTTCTCTTAGTTAGAGGATTGTGTTGGTTAGTAATTAAGTTTATCTTTTTCTCATATAAAATGCACACTATTGTGTCATGAGCGTCAAAAGCTCTGTTATTCAACGACCTATAGAATGCTTCTTTCTGTAACTATAAACTTTTACATTTAGTTACGGATGTTAATAACGAATCATTATGGAGTAGTTGTACCCAACTAGTCATTGAAAAAGGGTAGTTGAATTGACAACTAAACAGTTTTAAAGTGAGCTACAATCCGAAATTCTGTTTCCTCTAGAACGGTAGTTTTCTTTTTATTACTGTGAGACTGACATACAAGATTCTATAGCCAACAATAAGTTTTCCTTTCAGTTGGGTTTAGTAAAAAATTTCTTATTTGGGAGAAATTACCGAAATCAGTATGCACGCTAAATGTGGCTCAATCCAATGTTTATTTTTATTTAAAAAATATAGCTACAGCTTGGACATGAAATATCTAGTGTTCTAGTAAAATAAAAATAAAAGGAGTTTATCATAAGTAGATGGATGTTATTTATCTGTTTTTGAAGGATATTTGAAGGATGAAGTCAAATATCCAACTTGTTAAAATTTCATTAACCTGTCTAAACAATTTATGAATTTTAACCACCTTTTGAAATTGCTCAAACTTAATACCCCTTCAGCAACTTCAAACCTCCAACAAAACCTAGTCCAACCGTTCCCCACGATGACTCGCCAGACAGAGGGAATGGAACGTGGAACTGTTCGTGAGAATAGCGGAATAAGAGCGAGGCAATAATTATTAGTTGATACATTTCCCGGTAGAGCGCAATGGAGGGGGAACGCCTTCCCGCCATTGGCCGACTGCGCGATTGGTCGATGCATGCGACGATTATCTAGATTCGCTTTGTGATCGATGCTGGTTCTATCTCTTCTCTTCTTGCTCGTTCCCGCGCTCTCGGCACGCCATAGTATGTAATTGTGTCTGCTCCGAGCTGACTCTGTTGCGCTATTTATTTTACTCGACTTTTTCACCTGGGAACGCTTCTCAATGTTTATAGGTTCTAGTTAATCTGGGCAAATTGAAGCGGAATTGAGTTTCGTGTTG